GTTACTCTATCATAAATCCTTGGAATGGCTGGTGGCCTCCATTATTTATAAAGAACATAACAAATAGGAGCCTTCGCAGAGCAAATTCAGGTTTGTTCCCGAAGCACTAAATTTAAGCAAATGTCTCTTTAAATGACAATATATAGGTTTACCAATCAATCGATTTATTTATACTTTCAAAGATAACCGCAAGTAGATATGCAAACAAACAATTAATAACCATTGAACCATCGAGGGGTTCTCGATTAATGGTGGAAGATAATGTCCACAACATGGACTTTAGGGGTAAACTATTTTAAATTACGAACTAAATTTTAAGTAGGATTCATCTCTGTCAGATATCTCGGTAATGATCGGAAATATTTCCACGGGGATTCCACTATGGCGTGTCTATTATTAAATTTCTCTATGAATGAAATTATTCACAAATATTTATATGGATGTATAGCTAAACCCACCTCTATACACAGACATTGGCCAACTTTTGAGGGTGTGGGTTGAAAAAGTCCACAGCAAGCCCCCCGGTTACACTTGAATGACAATTTTGAAAACTTATGGGGGACTCGGCTCAAGCGTAGAGTCCTAGTGTGTGTGTTTCTTTTTTGTTGCTCCTGAGTGTGTGTGGCATTGACAGCGGCCCACGGCCCCCTTCCCTCCCTTGAACCCCTTGAGCCCCCCTAACACAGAAAACCCCCTTCTCTTTGGAAGCTTACGTGCTTGGCTGCTAACCTTTTTTTACGTTTGCGTTTCCATTTTTTCAGTTTCTGTTTTTGTTATGCTTTTAAAGCCAAGCTTTTTCTTTTGGGTGCCTGGTGCCTACGTGCAAAGGAATTTTACACTTGGCGAACAAAGGCACAAAAGCTAGACAGAGAAAGAGCTAGAAACTACGAGCAAAAACAACAACGGGACTTTATGACAACCAGACGTCCGTCGCTAGAAAACGAAGCGAGAAGAATCGGTGGCACGAGAAGAGTGGTGGAGCAGAGGCCGCGGGAAGCCGAGGAGAAAAGTTATGCATGTAAGCAAAGTACAAAGAGCCGAGCTTCCACTGGCGTGGCGAAGGGCGGAAGGGGGGGGAAGCATTAGAAGAATCGGGCACTGAGAGAAAAGCAGTCCCTAAAAGTAGGACTTTAGCAGTTACAGATTTTTATTTAATTATCCTTTAATTTTATTAGATTATTAGGCTTTTGTTGGTCCTTCATTATCTTGTAGAGTTTCTCCCAGTGTAGAACAAGGAGGGACTTGGGAGGTTTCAATTTATAGACCAGGCGATCGACGGCAGGAAAGAGGGTTAAAAGGGGGCCAGCCATGGGGCAAGAGGGAGCGGTGGGGCGGCAAGCGGTCGACACATGTGTTTGGTGCCAACCTGCGATACCTGTTCCGCTGTTGACGGCGTCGGAACACCAGAATCCGGCCACATAGCTAGCAGCTAGCAGTTAGTCAGTCATCAACACAGATACTCACATGCACAGCCCGCTCCACACACGCTCAGGTGCTTCACTCTGAGGCTCTCTCTTCTGGCCAACTCATTCAGAGACTTTCGGTGTTTACACACCAAACAGCGTTAGAGTCCGCCTGATCTTTCCTACCTGCCACCCCCTCTGAGCCCCGAGATGGAAAGACTCACGCATTTCTGCCACAGTCACAGGCTCTAGTGCTTTTCGGCGGCTCGGCTTGGCTTTTTTATTGCGGGGGCGCTGATTGAGTGGGCCACATGTGCCAAGTGTCACGCACACACTGCCAGCCACACACACTGGGGCGCTGAAAACATGTCCACCGCCACCAGACGACACACCAACCACATCCACTGAAACAACATCAATAGCCAACTCAGCCAGAGCCAGAAACCTACTTTGAGCCGCAGATATTAAGTAACAATTGGCAGCCACTGAGGCATAGACATGGACTTGGCAACTGGCAAAGGGTGGCCTAAAAATAGCCATGATGAAGATTGTATTCCTAGATTTTTTCTAGCTGACCTTCAATTCAGCTAGAAGTTTTAAAATAAAATATAATCAGTACAGTTCCACTTTTCTAGGATCGTAAGTCCCCCTCTGGAGAGGGATTTCTACACTCCCATATATGTAAGCCATGAGAAAATCATTCATTATAATTGCCCAACCCCATCCTCACTTTTCAAACGAGTCTTCCTCCGTCAAATATAAAAATTCCGTTTCACTCCCAGCCGAAAATTTCGAAATCATCATTGTCGGTGGTTGAGGAAGAAGAGGAAACGTCGTTAATTTGTGAGCCCTGTCACCGATTATACTTCCCAACCTCTCGCACACATCCACATCCACGGAGGTATTGTTGTAACTTTGTTTTTTTTTCGCTGATAAAGCCCAAACAGGAGAGCAGCCTCCCCCCGCAGACTTTGTTGTGGAATGGAGAGAGGAAGTCATAGAGCGTACATAGATACAGCGGTTTATACAAACATACATCTAAATATTAGACCAGCGACTAAGTAGAACGGCAAAAACAATGGACGAGTCCCAACCGCAGTCCGAAGCAGAACCCCCCTTAGAGCTCTGGAGCTCTGAAATAAAATTACGATAAGGAATCCTAGAATATTTAAAAATACGAGTACATTATGGGTCATAATATTTTTCAGAGAATATTATTTCTTGGTAATCCTAAGCTAGGATCGAAGAACGTTGATAAAGCCGCTGTTATAATAGACCAACCCAAGTATGATCTTTAAACCTACGTATATATTTATTTTCCCCTGTGCACCTCGGATTCAGAGTCAGAGTCAGATTCAGAGTCAGAGTTCCGATCCCAGGCAAAGCTCCACAAAAGCCACTCAAAAGTGGAAAAAAAAATTAAGCAGACTGAAAAAAAAACAACACATCCACTACCAACAACACGCAATAGGGCAAGGCAAACAACAACAGCGGCAGAGGCAGAGGCAGAGGCAGCGACGCCGACGTCTGCGCCGTGCCAGCAACAGGAATTTACGATTCAGTGACTACCTTATTGTGTGTTTGTTGCTATTTCACCTGGGCTGGGGAGCTCTATGCTTGCGTGTGTGTGTGCGTTTGTGTCTGTGTGAGAGCCTATTAGGCGAAACGATCGTTTCCGTTGCAGGGGTGCGGGGTGGACTGCGGGCTGCTGGTTGTTGTTGTTGTTGTTGCCGTTACGCCTTCAGCCAGTTAATAATAGACAACAACAACAAAAAACCAAGGTGTGTAGGATAAAACTAAACAACAATGAAGCGGTACAGAGCGAGAGGGAACTTTGCACAAAGCTCGCTGCTTAGGATTCCCAATCAGTTCGAGCCACTCCACTTGTAGAATTTACAGCCCGCTTACGTAATCCCTAGCCTCTGAAAAAACAACAGCGAGGCTCCTTCACCACAAAATTAAGAAACTGAACAGTTACTGTGGGATGGCTGTAAGGCCTTAAAATATGAATCTATAAGCAAGGTTTGAATCCTTTATACTGATTATTTTGTTTTTAATATTTTACTATGTATGAAAGGATTTCTGAAAGATAATCTCTTAAATATACTTGACGTAACAATTCTTTAATTAAATCTTTAGTGGCTACACGAAAGGAAGCTCAAGACATCCGGAAACCTCATAATTATAAATAATAGACTAATCTAATAAATCTAATTTAGTTTTTTGTTACATCAAGGTTCAAGTTAGAAAAGTTCCACTGTGTATCCCAGCACGCCTGCGTTGCTGGCTCGAGTTTCCACATGTTTTTCCAATTCCAGCGGCCCCTGGAAAAACCAAAGAGCTGGAAAGCCAAGACTAGGGTTGGGACCGGGGCTGGGGCCAAACCCCAATAAAACCAGCCCAACCCAAAAAGCCACCGCCGCCTGTTGCCCTTACAACAACCACAAAAGTTGTCGAGAAAAAACGCGGAGAGAAAAACAAATCATCAACTGTTGCTATTGTTGTTGGTAGTGGTTGTTCCTAGCTTTTTTTTACCAGCGCGTTTTTCTTTTTAACCCCGTTTCGTTTCCCGGCCCGGCCCGCAGCGCCACGCCCCACCCCGCCCCCACCTCTTCGTCGCGTGCAAAGGAAATTAAAAATTCAAAAAGTCAAAGGCGCAAGCAGCGGCGGAGAGAGCCAAGCAGCGGGCTCTCTCTGCTGGTGTGCAGCCCTCTCGCTCTTTCGTGTAGACTTGGGGACTCGACAAAAAGTCTCCAAAGTCGCCTGTTCGTGTCCGTGTGTAGGATTGCTGCGAGGGTGTGTGTGTGTGTGCCTGTGTGAGGTGTGGGAAAGAAGAAGCAGCGTCGGCAGCGACGTCGACGGAGCTTGGAACTGGGGAGCCCGATCGCCCGAGGATCGGCCCCAGTCAGTCATTCAATCGAGAATTTGGTGTCAAAAGAGACGGACGCAAAAGAGAGCTCTTCGCTTCGTTCGTGCGGACCCCTCTCTCTTCTCTCCTCCGCCCTACGCGCGCGCACCTCTCTTCTTCTGCCGAGTTGTGAAAATTTCCACAAGTTAAAATTAAATAAGAAAAAAAAGTGCAAAGGAAGCAGGCGATCAGCGGACGAAAAAGGTGCCTAGTAATTTTCATTTAACTGCTGCTGGTTCAATATTTTGGGCCAAGTCCCTGAAAGTGATATTAAAAAAAATAGTTTCAATGTGCCGGGATACAAATATGTACAGATAAAGAAACATAGTCGTAGGGAATGCCTCGGCAACAAATACAGAAAATCTTGAGGCCAGCAATTTAGGACTTGCCATGAAGTCAGCCCCAATAAGCAGCTTTCTCGCTCGCACTCAATCTTCCCGTCCCTTTTCCGCGCACAGGCACACAGTGTTCGACTGAAGGGGGTGTAAAAATAAGCGCATGTGTGCTGTGCTGTAAAGTGATCTTCGGAACGATTGCCGCCCACCCCTAAAAAACATCCACTCTTATCAGGCGCAGTGTGTGGTTGTTTGTGTGAGTGCGGCCAGTGCAGGGGTGTGTGTGACTGCGCAGTCGGCTTCCTGCGCCGAGGACTTTGACTTCTATCTCTCTCTCTCGCTGATCTCTCCACGAAGGAGAAGAGAGAGCTCAGGGACTTTCGAATAAATTCTTATCACATTTGTGTTTCACACTACAACAGTAACAGTGTTTCCCGAGTGAGGACGTGTCAGCGCTCCGCTCCTCTTCGGCTAACCGCAGTTTGAAAATATACATTCATCGGTAAAAAAAATAAATTTAGTAATAAAATAAAAGTGTACCTTGAAAAAAAACACTGCAGTTTTTTAATGAAACACAGCCACAAACGAAACGAAAGGCAACAAAATAAATTTGCCTTTTTGTGCGATCGTGCTCTTTTGGCAGGCGAAAAAAGCTTTTTCGCAGAGCTTTTCTAATAACTGTTTGCCGCGCCAGTGTGTGTTCGTGTGAGAGATCACGCTCTCTCTTTCCCTCCGATTGAATGGTGCGCCTCCTCAATTGATTTGAACAAGTGCATAAAAACAAAAACAATTTCAAACAAACGAAAACTGCAAAGCAGAGACAACAAAGTGGAAGCGTGGAAAAAACAGAAACCGAAAAAAACAACAAAATGAAAGACGCTGCAATAGATATAGATGGAGTGGAGACTGTGCCAGGAAGACGGGAATTTTTTGTTCCGTGGGGACCGGAATGATTTTCAATTAAGTGTACAAAGCAGCGGCGACGGCGGCGGCGATAAGATAAGAAAGCGAGCAAATATTTAGCAAGTGGAGGAGGCAAGAGGAAGTGTGGTTTCGAAATCGAAATCGAGTCTGCGAGACCAGGATTTTTTGTTGGGATTCTCGAAAGTGTACATGGGATCACGGGGAGTGATAACGCACCACGAATTTCGTGACTTTTCATGACGATTTCCTGGAACTGGAACAGGGCCTGGAAGCAACCAGTGCTTCATGTTCCAGTTTCCAGTGTCGCGTGTAGCTTTTTATTTGGGAATGGAAGGCGAGTAAAGTTTTTCATTTCGATGCGCTACGTGCCTGTTGCCTTATTCGCTTTAATTGGCTTCACTCCTTCTAATTCCACACCCTTTGGCAAGTTTTCAAGTCAAAGCAGCAACACATACAATATGTACACCCGCCCACACACACACACTGGCTGTCATCGTGTCGTCCCAGTTAAGTACTCTCCGGGATTCGGACTCTTTCTTTCCCCGATGGCCTCAGTGCGTGTGCCCCTTGTTGTTGTTGCTCCCCAGCCGTCCAACCGTCCAACCAACCCATTTGAAACACATTTGAAATTTCCATTTAGATTTCCTCATTTATTTTCCTCGTCGGCCTGCATAATGTGCCTGCACAGTTGACCCTTTGGGTCGCCTCTTAAATTAAATTCCGACTGCGCGTTTAATTGAGCGCTGGCAGCGCAGTCGGCTTGCCAGGATTTCGGAAAATACAGTAGACATAGGATAAGAAACTTAGAGGAGTAGATATTTGATAGAAAGATTTCAAAGGAGTGTTGAAAATTGTCAACACTTCGCCATACTCATGATTTCCAAATCAGAAACCGGATCGTATTAATCTTGGGGTTTCCTTCGATTGCAGCACGCCCTGGAATATATGTTTTGACGGCTCCCGACGACTGTCAGGCATCAAGGAAAGTCCCTAGAGCAGGATATTCGAAGGACCTTAGATGAGCCGGATTCTAAAGCAAGAACACAATCCAATTGCATGAGGACATAGACCAACTCGCACCCAATCACCGACCGCTTAGTGACACAACCACGGCCTCCAAATGAAGATGGCATCCCAACGATTCTGCTTGCGGTGGAACAACCATCAGAGCAACTTGCTGTCCGTTTTCGATCAGCTGCTCCACGCAGAAACCTTCACAGATGTGACGCTGGCCGTCGAGGGGCAATACCTAAAGGCACACAAGGTGGGTGAACCAACTGACCAGCCTCTCACTAATAATATGTGATTTAATTTTTATCCAATAACTAACCTAAAATAAACTATTGTAGATGGTGCTATCTGCATGCAGTCCCTACTTCAATGCCCTGTTCGTAAACCATCCGGAAAAACACCCGATTGTCATTCTGAAAGACGTGCCCTACTCGGACATGAAGTCCCTGCTGGACTTTATGTACAGAGGCGAAGTGTCCGTGGACCAGGAACGACTCACTGCATTCCTGCGCGTGGCCGAGAGCCTGCGCATCAAGGGCCTCACCGAGGTCAATGACGACAAACCCTCGCCGGCGGCAGCTGGAGCGGCAGCAGGCGCAGGGGCTGGAGCCGCCGGCTCCGAGAACACGCCCACTCCCCCCCAGCTGCAGCGCATCCAGCCGTACCTGGTGCCACAGCGGAACCGTGCGCAGGGCGGCGGTCTGCTGGCCAGCGCCGCTACTGCCGGAAACACCCCCGCCCTGCCGGTGCAGCCGTCGCTGCTCAGCTCAGCCCTGATGCCCAAGCGGAAGCGTGGCAGGCCTCGCAAACTGTCGGGTAGTTCGAACGGCACTGGCAACGACTACGACGAGTTCGAGCGGGAGAACATGATGAACGACTCCGACCTGGGCAACGGCAAATTGGGCAATGACTCCTACTCCGGCAACGATGACGGCTCCGACGACAACCAGCAGGATGCAGGCCACACAGACGACCTTAATGTGAGTTTCTCGTTGGTTCATGTGTCAATGTTTCAATGAATCTAATCCATCCTCCTCCTCGTATAGGAAAGCCACGATTCTCTTCCCACGAAACGGTCTAAGAACGCAAAGGATCACCGCATTGCGGCCCAGCAAGAGGACAACAGCACTTCCGGTAAGTCCGCCACGGGACCTTGCTCTAGCTCTAAGATCATGTACCTAGTCCTAAGACAATGCACCATCAACCAATATCGATAGCTCATTTTAAGTCAATCATGTGCACCCAGCACGATACCAACTCAATCCAATACAGAGCCAGGATGAAGTTACATAACCACATTCGACAACCTCATCTGCGAATATCGGAAAAGCTAAAAGGGATTTTACGCATTTCAAACGTTAGAATATTGTTTCCCCCCAAAAACCACAACTCGCGCGTCGGTAGTGCTCTTAAAAAACCAAACAAGAAAAAAAAAAGTGAGAAATACATTGAATTGTTAAGTGAATTCGCAAAGTAATGTTTGAGGCATCCATCCAGTCAGTTCAGCTTCCACCGTCGGCAGGTGAGTGTCCCCAACAACCAGCTAAGCAGTTGATGCCCAAGAAATGCAAATCCACAAGCTGACGAAGAGATTAATTGTGAAGTTGAGAATCGGGTTGAGCTCACAGGGATTCATGGCCGACGTGATAATCTATCAAAAAAGTCTATCAAAAAATGTATTTAACTTTTTCCAAAATTTTACCGCGTCAAAAAGAACTCCAGAAAATGAAAGAAATCCGCCACCTCTCATGACCATAACCCACAATGAAATGCTGATCTCTGCTGTCCATTTCCGTTCACCTCCTTCTCGAAACCACACTCGAAAGTAGAAAACAATGAAACCACCGATGAACATCAAAATGTTGAACTGAAAACCGTTGATTAAGAAGCAACTATTTGGAACACTCGCAACGCGCTGAAAAATGGCTTGAAATCCCTATAGCTTTTCCGATCCGATTTGAAACTCGTTCTCACTCGCTCGCGCCATGTGTTTTGCCTTCTTCTTGCATACATCCTGCACACACATTCAACACACACCACTTTACTGAGTTTATACGCCTGACATTTGTAAAGGGAAAAGGATTCCTGACATCCTCAAGTTCCTGAAATTCCTGACATCTCAAGTAAGAGATGTGAATCCCGAAACTTTTACAAACTCGGCGTATAAACTAAGTAATAGCATACAAGAGGCACCTGATTAACCTATTCCCCCACAATTTTTAGATGGCAACGACAGCGATGGCGACGCAATGGACACCTCTTACATGGAGCCCCAGCTGATGCTGGACGAGTACGACGAGCCCGTGGAATTCAAGTACAACCCGTTGACGGAAAACAGCTCCCCAACGCAGGACCAGACGGACGGAAACCAGCACCTCAACGAACAGGCACGTCAACAGGCTTTCCTCATCGCCGCCCAGCGAAAGCACCAGGCGGAAGCAGCGGCTGCGGCGAGTGGAGGCATCAAGCTGAACATTCTGGGCATGGCGGCTGGAGGGGCACAGGTGAAGAGCATGGTTAGCATACCCAAACTGACACCCATTGGAAAGGCCAACGCAGCCTCAACGCCTCTGGTGTCGCCTGCCTCCTCCTCGGTGACGGGAACTCCCAAGGCGCGCGTCCAGAAGCGGGCCAAGCTAAGCAAACAGAACGGCGACGTCAAGCCGGTGTTCACCAGCCAGGAATACCTCGATCTGTACAACAGCAACGATGGCTTCAAGTTCAAAGCAGGCTCGCTGAGTGGCAGTACGCCGAACCTGAGCTCTGGAGTGGGCACCCCGTCCGTGAAGACCAAGCTGAACCTGAGCAGCAATGTGGGCGAGGGCGAGGCAGAGGGCTCCGTGCGCGATTACTGCACCAAAGAGGGCGAGCACACGTACCGGTGCAAGGTCTGTTCGCGTGTCTACACGCACATCAGCAACTTCTGCCGGCACTATGTGACCTCGCACAAGCGGAACGTGAAGGTGTACCCGTGTCCGTTCTGCCTAAAGGAGTTTACGCGCAAAGACAACATGACGGCGCACGTAAAGATCATCCACAAAATCGAGAATCCCTCCACCGCCCTGGCGAGTGTGACAGCCCTGGGCGGCCAGGCACTGACCGTATCAGCGGGATCGACGCCACCGCCTCCGGACCTGAGTGGCCAGAACTCGAATCAGTCGCTGCCCGCCACCAGCAATGCTCTTTCCACCTCCTCCTCCTCGTCAACGTCCTCGTCCAGCGGGTCTCTGGGACCGCTGACGGCGGCCACCACACCAGCCGCTTCCGCCGCCGCGGCGCAGTAATCTCTCCAAGACACAAAATCGGAAACGGAAAAATCAATGCGGAGGTTGATACAAAATCGGAAGAAGAGAGTCCAGAATAAGCATAGTAGCGCCAGGCGCCAGGCGCCATTCGGGATATTTTTTCGTTGCGGAAGGGAAGCTTAAGCAGTTAAAGTAGATTTTTTTGTTGATTTTGTTTTTTAGTTTTTTACTTGGCTTTGACTATTATTTAATTTTTTTATATGAACATGCCCGCCGGCAACATGGAAATCTCCAGAGCCAGCCCGCTAAGTGGCCTCAACCCCATTTGTATGTTGTGCAATTATTTCAATTACAATAACAATTAACTACAATAATATTTCGACCTGAACTCTTGTTTTGTAAGCCGAACCGTAGGCCTAAGCAATACCCGATCAGACACAATGATTTTCCAATACCCACTACCGCTACAAAGTACGATTACCACCCGTAGTTTCGATCAGTAGTCCAAGACGCAAAATCAAGTACTTGTGGCTGACACTATCCATTTAAGCATATTATTGGACACCGGAGCGGCCTTATAAGTAAAGTGTATCCTGGAAAGGGCGGTTACACTAAAAAAGAAACAACCGAAACTAAACCTGCACTTTTAGATAATTAAACTATATATACACACAGATGCATATGTTATATATAACTATCTATAAACATTGAATGGTATGTCTAGCCGTAGTTCTATTAATTAATTTATCATTATCACTATGTTCTGTACGCTAAAGGTAATACTATCTAGTGTAGGAGCAGAGATATAAGAACGGAATGAGGAAAATCAATTATTGTTAATTATGCGAGAGGGAGCGCAAATCTACCTTGTTGCCTTCAAATGAAGCTAGTTAAAAGTTAAACCCGAGTCTGGGCCACGGTCTGTGAGGACCCCCAGTACCCGCATTCCCGCTCACCCCCACACACCCGCTCGAGCGCAGGTCCCTCAGGCCGACGAAGGATTGCAAATGTTTCGCCGGACCGATATCGGGGCCGAGTGTGTCGAGTCGATCATTAATACTTTTGTAACTACGGATAGTAACAGCAACAATAATAATTGTAATGATAACGATAACGATAACAGTAATATTAATGAGCATAACGTAAACCTAATTTATCAATCTATTAAACGATTTATGTTGTATATCGGAGGCTTAAATTATCGCCAAAGAAAATGAAAATCAAAAACAAACCTAACACGAAGCAGTTTCCACCCAACACACAGCAATAAGGACAGCAAGCAGCCAATACAAATCAGAGGAACATTGTTGTTGAAGCAAAACGATCTCCAATAAAAAGAATACGAAAAAGGTTAAAAATACGCACTTTAATTAACCCATTACTCCTCAAGTCAAGTTTTTTTTTTTTTGAAAAAAGCATTGAAAACCGGAAAACTGCACGGGAAAACAGACAAGAAACAAAATTAAACAATAACGCAATCAATCAATAAACAAGCTGCGTACGCTAATTTATTAAATAATTTTTGTTTTTAATTCTTTATTTAGTGGTAGCTAGTGCAATTTAGTCAGTAAGCCGCCGTCTCCCACACACGCCCTATAACCTATAACCTATAACCTATAACCCATAACCATCGCCAATATCCATCCACCCGACCCGACCAGAAACACTCTCTTTTGGCGTTAATTTAAAACAATCAATACGTTGTTTGTACTATATTTACTTTATTTTTAGTCTACTTTTTATATGAATATGTTTACATATATTTTTGCACTCAAAGAACTAAACTTTCAGCAATTTTCTCGCTTTCAACAAACAAAAACAAATTCAAGTCCAAATCTCGAAATCTTTACGAGAATAATCTTCAGATATGCATGTATATATCGATCTATACATCCATATATATACATAGTGAGAGTCATGCTTTGATGCCCAAAGAAAATACGAGATATATGTTCAGATATATCTCACCAGATCTTTCCAGAATGCAAGGACACTGCTTGCATGCGAAAATGAGAAAATTGTCTGGAATTGTTGGTAAACATGGTTTCCGTTAAAATTAGCTAATTAGATACACTACGATATATGATATACTTTAAACATAATTACAAATTAGTGAATCACACGCAATATTAATCAAGCAGAACATTATATATTATCGTTTAAAACTGACCAACAGAGGAGGAATAAAATACACAATGCAAATAAAAATAAAAATAAAAAACTTCAACAAAATCTGTTCTGGAACACAAACCTGATGTTTTTATTTTACACCTTAAACTTGAAACAATTATTTTTAGTTTCAGAAACTGATAATCAAATATCCTTAATGTGTTGTATTTTATTTCTGCAGTTACCACAACCCTGGCTACTTCGGAGCTTTCCCAGCGTCTGTTCGGCTCATCTTCCACCTTCATCTCCACCACGATCACTGCCAACACCACCGCCAACACCAGCCCCAACACTTCGGCTCCGGACTCCTCTCCCCTGCCAGAAACCGGCGACAATCGGGACACTGCCCCCATTCACCTTCCCACCATTTTGGGCCTCAAGATTCGCGCCATCAACACCGCCACTCCATCCACTCAGCCACAGGCCCAGTCTCAGTCCAAGTCAAAGGTGAAAATCAAGCAGGGTAGTGGTGCAAACAGCAATTCCTTACTCAAACAGCAACTACGTGGAGGGGCCAAGGATCCCGAGGTCCCGCCGCCCAGCAGAATCACAGTGGCTGTGGCACCCATTCCGGCCTTGAACATCGAGGAGAACCCCGTCGAGGTGCCGAAAAAGAAACAGGAGGATGTGAACGCCTGCAGTGGCCTGCAGTCCTTGGCTACGGCTGCCGCCGAGCAACAGGCCGCCCAGGTGGTCAACAGCAGTGGCAGCTTGCACCACCAGCTGCTCCACCAACTCCACTTGGCAGCCAACAACCCTTACATCCAGCAGCAGCAGCAAGTTTCACCTTCGGCTGCTGGCCAGTTTCTGGATGACGAGATGAGCTTCATGTCCCTCAAAGAACAGCAGGATAACAGCGATGAGCCCGATCACGAACTTCTGACCTTGGCCGATGAAAACGCTGGTCTGCCAGGCTTCGAATGCAGGGACTCCGAGATAAAGTCTCCAACAGAGGAGCCTCCCGCCCCGGAGCCGCAGTCAGCGCCGCCAGCCACTTCAACACCCAGGAGCGGTAAGAAGGGAGCTAAGCGGCCCATTCAGCGCAGAAGGGTTCGTCGCAAGGCCCAGTCCACCATTGATGACCAGGCCGAGCACCTGACGGAGATGTCGGTGCGCGGCCTGGACCTGTTCCGGTACGCCAGTGTGGTGGAAGGGGTGTATCGGTGCACCGAGTGCGCCAAGGAGAACATGCAGAAGACCTTCAAGAACAAGTACAGCTTCCAGCGACACGCTTTCCTGTACCACGAAGGCAAGCACCGCAAGGTGTTCCCGTGCCCAGTGTGCTCCAAGGAGTTCTCCCGGCCGGACAAGATGAAGAACCACCTGAAGATGACGCACGAGAACTTTACGCCACCCAAGGATCTGGGTGCCTTTAGTCCACTGAAGTATTTGATTAGTGCTGCGGCTGCGGGGGATATGCACGCCTCCATTTATCAGCAGCAGCAGCAGGAGGCTCAGTATCAGCGTCAGTTGGCGGAGCATCTGGAGCAACAGGAGCGGCAGGAACGACAGGAGCAGCAGGACCAGCACAACGCCTCCTTCGACAGCCACGACAACTCGCTTCTGCTGCCCGATGTGAAGCTTGAGCAGGGCGACATCGAGGAGCCCGACCAGGAGGCAGAACTGAGCGATGGTGGCTACGACGCCCCCAATCCAGCGGCGGCCGCAGCCGCCATGCTGAGCCTCCAACACGACGTTATCATCAAGAACGAGATACAGATCTCACCATCGCCATCGCCCTCTCCCTCGCCGCCGGCATCCTGCGCCGTGGCGGAGGGCACGTCCTTGGCACTGGCCACCACCGCACAAACAGCAACGTAAAGACTTGGAAGGAAACTAGAGTAGCGCACAACAACACTTTACCTTAACTCGAGGTCTGAACTGTAGAATACTTCAACTTACTTTAGGGATATCACGAGATACTACTGCTAAGCACTCGTCGCACTCAACAGACGCACATCAGACTCAAATTAGTTAGTTAAATTTTGTAAACACGTAAGCAATACTATTCTTAGCACGTGCTCCGTCCAGAAAGCCTTTTTTAAGCGAAACTAATATTTATACTTTATTATTTTTATCCAGAGTCTAAGTTTTAAACCTAAACCTAAGGCCCGCAGACAGTTCAGTGAACTTTAACTTTAGCTCGGCTTTAATTTTATACGATTATTTGACTGGCCGCCTACCGATCCCTAATTAATTAATTAAAATCTCCAGGATCGGCAGAGAACTTTCATTTCCTTTTGTGATTTTGTTGAACCTTTTTATTTAGATCCTCGTTTTAACCTAGCATTTTTGTTTTTGTTGTATATAGCTATGGAATTATATATTTAAATATGTTTAATACTCACAGTCTGTAGTATAATTTTGTTCATTTCCTTGGCAACAAGCTGAAAACAAACGCATTGGCTATTTGTGCAATCATCAAAACGAGTTGGCGGCCCGCCCAGAGACCCGATAGCAAGGTTCTGCGGCCCCACAAAATGTTGTAAACTTAATTACCGACTACTTAACTAGCAGTAAGGTCTACTTCTAAGGCAATCTAAGGCAAGGCGTGTTCCAACGCACAACAAAACGCGCAACGGACTTCCAGTGAAGAAATTAACTGATATTTATACGGAATCCCAATCTGGTATTATGAATTACGACTTGAACAGTTTACTTAACGCAACAACTAATACTTAAAGCTCACACACTGCGCTCAATTTTACAAATATGTATGTATGTTGCGAAATCTAGACTAGTTATCGCTATGAAATAAAGAGAATTTTAGTGAAATATAAAGTTTGTGATTTTAATGAACATGAGACAGGAAATGCTTTCATTTCTTTAAGGAATTTATTGATTGTTGGCACGTCGATACCAAAACCTCGCTCGAAAGTCATCTGAGCAGGTGAGAAAGGCTGGCGCGTTCGGGGAGTGGGTGATGTATCGAACTGGCCCGTTGTGCCCCAGGGAGTTCAGCGTCAATCGGCAGCCGTTACGTGAGTTCCACGAGCACAGCGACGTGGTTGCCTCGTCGGGGAATAGAACATAGTCCTCGGTGTGATTGAACACTGCCTCCGTGTGGTGCTCCTGCTTGCCAGTGGTTCCTGCCCCAGTATACGTCTGAATGGGGCGACTGGTGCACAATTCCCACAAATAAACCAGCGAGTCCATACCCGACGAGAGAAGGTACTGAAATAATATAACATCCAATAATAAATATATACATTTTGTGGATCGATAAGAGTATTTGACTACCTTCCCATTTCTGGTAAACTCCAAGGAGCAAATGGCCGCTCCGCCATGAGCTTCAGCAATAGTATTAATGCACCTCCCACTAACACCGTCCCACACCTTGATGTCTCCATCGTAACTTCCTGTGGCGTACAGCTTGGCTGTTGGAGAATACTTCACGCAGGTAACGCCCGCCTTGTGTTGCTGCGACGGAATGGCGCTTACAAAGCACTGGGCAGTGTGGACGTCGTACACCCGGAGAACATTGTGTTCCGTGCCAATGGCCACGTAGTCCCCAGTGGGATGGAATGACAAGCACAACACAGGCTCGCAGTCGGTAAACACCTTGTGGGCCTTCTTAACAGATGGCTTGGCAATGTCGAACAGTTTCACAGTTCCATCTCGCGAGGCTGAAGCGAGGATATGCTCCTTGGGATGGAATTCCAAGTAGGATACCTCATCGGTATGATCGTACAAAGTGCGGATAACTGGGTGTCCCTGTTGTTCACGTCCTGGCTCAATGTCTTCGGGGGCGGATTTAGCCAGCATTCGCTCCACGTCCAGAATCTTGATACTTGCATCTACACTTCCAGTGGCCACAAGCGAACCATCGAAGCTGAAGGCTCCAGCTCGACAAGCCTGCTTATGCGATGTCACGTAGGCGGTTTCGTAGGAATGGGGTTCAGGGGCCAAGGCGGATGCCTCTGGCTCGAATTCCAGATCGATTCCAGGGAGAACATCGTCGGTTTGAGTTTTCTCTTTATCGCCAAGAGTCTGCATGCCGGCGATCATCACGTGCAGCAGGCGCTCGCTTGGAGCACACTGATCCGCCTTGACCAACATAGACAGCTCCATGGCAAATTTTTCCAATCCATCGTACATCAGTTGGCTGGGGAAAACTATGGGTGTTAAGGGAGCACCTGTAGAATCTGCAACTACCTACCTAATCATCAGACGGTAAAGGATCTCCCGGTTCTTGACCAGGTTGCTGGGGTCCAATATCTCGTCACGCATTTCGGTTATATATGAATTGTCGACGGCTTAATAGAGGAGAAGTTGTATTTTTCGGACCAAAACAAAGGTAATCGGGAGCCGGGTAGAGGTCTTTGGACTTACTACTGCCTGAATTCGTTCCTGCCCAAAATGTTTATCTAAGGTGGCTGGAATGAGCTTCTTGCCTTGTAGGCTTGCGACGCCTATGACCTCGTTTTTGTACTTTTTATAAAAAGTTTTAAGATTTGTTGATGGTTTCGGATGGTCGCCGCAGTTTCTGTGTGCTGGCCACCCATGCACCGAGCTATACACCGTCTAATGGAACGATGGAATTGGAATATGGGCGGGATTTTCAATTTTAAATTATTTCGTTATGTATTTACTTTTGACCGTCATGATTACAATTATATATGAACCTTAATTGACCTTACGAAAAAGAATTAATTTTATTACAAGTTTCACCATCCAAACAAAAAAAAACAAAAATCCCTTATCCGACTACGTGTAATCGAAATAGCTTATATGTCCGGTAGCATCATGTTATCGGTTTGGTGTTTAGCCATCTGGCAACTCTGACAGCTGGCAACACGTGCGATTGTTTTGGTTTTTGCAGGTTTCGGAAAAAGTAATTTAATAGTTTTACAATGAAGATTCGTAAGAACCATGCTCGTAAGCGTTACCGGTACAGTGTTAACCGCAAGACACTCAACAAAACCCGCAGTTCTACTGGAAAAATAAAGGAGTAAGTTTGGTCACTAAACAATCCAACCAGATTATGGGGAGGAGTCCTAACTGAGGGCTAACAAACTAAACATTTAGAATATAATGATATTTGATATATCATTAGTTCTGTTTATATCTTTATTGAATTATATATCTTTTAGTAACTCTATTTTTTCAATGTTTCAGCCCCCAACTTAAGAAAATGTGGGAAGAGGGACAACGTGTGGGCACTAACTTTAGCGAAATGGGCTTGGCCAAGGACCCAAATAAGGCAATTGCAATTCCTAGCTACAAACAAAATCGTCTGCACGCAGCCAAGATTGTAAATGGGTTCGTCGAAGAAGAGCTTGACGAGGACGAGCTTAGGGTTTTAGGCATCAAGAAGGCGCCTGTAGAGGAGGGACCCAAGCGCGGACACGTAGTCCAGGAGCTCGAGCAACTAGCCAGCGAAAGGGCTGACCCGGAATTCAGGTAAACTGGCTTTGTTTTCCTATAAAAAATTGGCTAAATTATTCTGTATTTGCAGATTACCCAAGGGTGTCGTTAAGGAGCTAACCTACTTCCTCAACAAACACAAATTCAACTACAAAGCTATGGTCACGGATCGACGCAACTACAACCAATCCACATGGCGTCAGTTCAGACTCAAGATTCGCAGATTTATGGCCATTCCGGAGCAGTTTAACGTATATTTGGAGCAAAACAAGCTGCCGATAGGTGTCAAGCCTAAATGGGAGGAGTATGAGTCGGACAGTGAATGGAAATAAATATTCTATCTGATGTCATTTTATTTTGATTCAAACACTATACTTAGTATAAGATATAGATTTTATTAAATGCCTTAAATAACATAAAAAAAAATTCTATCCTATTTGAGAAGCTATAGCGTTTATAAAAGATATATATATATAGTGATTTAAAGATCATACTCGCCACTCGTCATACCTGTTAATCCTTTAAATGCCCGGTACTTTGCTAGTCAACCGGGCTATTTCATTTCTTAAACAATACTGTCATTAAGTTTCTATTACTAAAATACGCAATGCCATTTTAAGGGCACATCGATTTAAATTGGGCGGCCTTTGTCAAGGAAAGGAAGTTATAATCGAAAATTTTTTCTTTAAAAATGGGTAGTTTTTTATAAAGGTTGAAAAAATAAAACCGATAAAATCATAATTATATTATTCAAAAATATTTAAATATGTTTTTAAATTGTTATAAAGCAGTTCTAAAACTAAAAGCTTATCGATAGATTTTTTTAACGCAAAATTATTAATTTTGGCGCGTGAATATTCGACTAAAAATGGCAACTCTATTGTGTTTAAAAAAAAAATCTTTCAAAGAAACAAATACAAGCATTATTTTAAAACTCACTATTTTAGATGATTTTATTTACCAAATACATGATAAATAAACATTTTTGAGAAAAATGGAAACCATAATTAGGCAAAAATTTCAAATTTGGCGGCAAAGTTTGCCATTTTATACTGGTGATGCACATAACAGTCTAAATATTAGCAAACTTTTTGCAACACTGATTCGTGCTTTTTCACGAAGTGAATTTCACGACCGCCAGCTTGCAACACTTTTGGTTTTCCGCCTTTTTTCGGTCTTTTCCGTTTCTGGTTTCCAGGTAAGTGGACACAAGCTCCTACTAAAAAATCTAAGAAGGCTCCTACAAAATTGTCAAAAAATTATTAAAGCCGTCGATTGATTTTTCAAGTGATAATTAGTAAGGAAATCGAAAAGCCGAAAGCATTTTGAGTCAGTTGGTACATTTTCCCTTCGAATAAAAGTGTAATTCGAATTTTATTGCGAAACTAAACGCGGCGTTTGGTGAGTCTGTGTGAGTGCAATTGCAGTGCCGGCCGGTGTCTCATGAGGTTTTGCATAATAGGCAAGTGAAAATATTGGCCGTCCCTGCGTAAATAGAGTCATGGAAGCCACGATTTCAGAAACTGGAGCTGCCGTGGCTCGGGAAGCCTCCAGTTTCGAGAAAATTAAACAACTTAAGGAACCCGGCGGAAAATTTCAAAATGGCGGCGAGCAAAAAGTGCATAGATGTGTGCATGTGTACGAGTGCTGGTGTGAGAGAGTGGACTTGACTATTCATGTTGCTTCCTTTCCCACGCTTTTGCGTACAACTTCATTGGAATTTTCCTTAAAAATATTAATATTATTGCACACATGCTGTGCAGATCCCCTGTCAGATTTTGTTTAAAGTTTTTTTTTTCACGTACACATGAGCTATTTGCCTGCCAAAGTATTTTTACACATGTACATACATACATACATACATATGTACATACGTCTTTTCTTTCAATTTGCACTTCGATGCAAGCAGAGATTTAAAAATAACATGCGGGGAAAAATTCTGCAAGTAAAATTTGTCACTAGGGTAAAAAATAAATCACTACGCCCTTCGGTTGTGTGTGTGGGGCTTTCTCTGGCCTCTCATTTTCTCCCAATGCAGGTTTATTGAAGAAGAGTCCGTGCAATACGCGGCCATTTCTACCATCGGACTCTCCTGTTCTTCTTGTCCTGCTCTTGTCAGTCTGTGTGTGTGTGTGAGTGTGTGTTTTGCAGTTTTCACCCTTTGGAATCGCGAATTTTCTGGCGCATGCCGATGCTTGTGCTTTCAAGGCGTCATCATTCCATTGATTTCATTCTTTCACAATTTCTTCAGGAAATTGCAAGTACTACATCCCAATATTCTATATTCTAGTTAATTTGCACATTTCAAGTATTTCTGTTTAATTAAAAAGTGCCATGTCATAGTTCTAAGAAATACATTTTTTTGTGTAGAACTGCTTTCAACAAAAATATTGATAATCTACATATCTTTAACTGTGAAAAGTTCAAAGTGGCTTTTTGTATAAAAATACGTCCAATGAAATCTCCTCTGAGAAGCCGGCCGGCAGCTTTCTCCCTCCTGGACTGACACAATGTTTTCCGCATTTCCCCGGGTTTGGGGTTAATCGTCTGCCGGAGAGTGCATTTTCCCCGATTCGCGAACTGTGCGCGTTCTGTTCGTTTCCCGTCTGGGGCTCGTCGTATATTGATTTTTCGGCCGGTGCAGGGCAACCAAAAACCGGAGATATACCACTGGTAGTCTTCAGTCGACTTTCTCATTGTCCGGGTCTAGATTACGGGCTCCAAATTAGGAAAATCAATTCTGTGGGTGTAATTCTGATTTTTTCACCATCATTGCAGGTGATTGCGTCTAGTGGACTTGTGAGGTTTTTGATAGACAACCAGCTCGCTCGTTTTAAGAAAATCAAAAAAAAACAGGTGAGTTTGCACTGAAAATTATTACAAAATTTTATTTCCTACCGGCATAAAAAATTGAAGTTATTTAAAGTAACAATAGTTTCCACTTTATTGAAATTAAATGTAAAATAAAGTTTATTAATCTTTGCAAATGTCGGAGTGAAAAATTAAAACATATATTTACTGGGTGTATACTAAAACTATACATATTTGTGTGTCCATCGATGTATATAAAATGATTTTGGTGTGTACACCACAATGACATGACCCACACCCACAGCATACACATGTACGTCATACACACGTCTCCCAGAACCCACATTCATACTTCTGTTTTCACTTGTAATATTTAAAAATCGACACCCCTTTTCCTGTCTTAGAATTCTCTGAAAATATAAAGCTCTTGTTGAGAACCGGCACTTAAAATGGGCAAGGAGAAGATCCATATCAACATTGTGGTCATTGGCCATGTGGACTCCGGCAAGTCTACCACCACCGGCCACTTGATCTACAAATGTGGTGGCATCGACAAGCGTACGATCGAGAAGTTCGAGAAGGAGGCCCAGGAGATGGGCAAGGGCTCGTTCAAGTATGCCTGGGTGCTCGACAAGCTGAAGGCCGAGCGCGAGCGTGGTATCACCATCGACATTGCCCTCTGGAAGTTCGAGACGGCCAAGTACTATGTGACGATCATCGATGCCCCTGGCCACAGGGATTTCATCAAGAACATGATCACCGGCACCTCGCAGGCCGATTGTGCAGTGCTGATTGTAGCCGCCGGCACCGGTGAGTTCGAGGCCGGCATCTCCAAGAACGGCCAGACCCGAGAGCACGCTCTGCTGGCTTTCACGCTGGGAGTGAAGCAGCTGATTGTCGGCGTCAACAAGATGGACTCGACTGAGCCGCCTTACAGCGAGGCCCGCTACGAGGAAATCAAGAAGGAGGTCTCCTCCTACATCAAGAAGATTGGCTACAACCCGGCCTCGGTCGCCTTCGTTCCGATTTCCGGCTGGCACGGCGACAACATGCTGGAGGCCTCCGAGAAGATGCCCTGGTTCAAGGGATGGACCGTGGAGCGCAAGGAGGGCAAGGCTGAGGGCAAGTGCCTGATCGATGCGCTGGACGCGATCCTTCCGCCACAGCGCCCCACCGACAAGCCGCTGCGCCTGCCCCTGCAGGATGTCTACAAGATTGGCGGCATCGGAACAGTACCCGTTGGCCGTGTGGAGACTGGCATCCTAAAGCCAGGTAAGTGGCTATTTTCTGTAATTAGTTTTTAGCCTTCCACCCTTTTGTGTGGGGCTGTGCTCCTTCGATTACTTCATTCATGTACCTCATCGAATTTGGGTCGCTGGTGGGTGCCAGTGAGTGGGTGTTGCCACCGCCGATGTCGTCTCCGACCGAGGCTCGCGACGAGTCCTTGCGCATGTATGCATTATTAAACGAACGTCTCCGACGCGAGAGCGGAGCACTCCCACCACCATGCACCTTGAGATAACGAGTAGGTCTATTCCTGAATGGGTAGCCCGAAGCACACGAAATTGGCTTATTGTTGGCCAATACACATAGATCTTGAAGGGGAATAATAAAACACACACACTTAAATAAATTGTTCTCCTCCATCATTCAGGCATGGTCGTCAACTTTGCTCCGGTCAACTTGGTCACTGAGGTAAAGTCCGTCGAGATGCATCACGAGGCTCTAACCGAGGCGATGCCCGGCGACAACGTCGGCTTCAACGTTAAGAACGTCTCGGTTAAGGAACTTCGCCGTGGCTATGTGGCCGGCGATTCGAAGAACAACCCGCCCCGGGGCGCTGCTGATTTTACTGCTCAGGTGGGTACTACCGACATATATCTTTTATCTTTCACAAGATAGGCATATTATTAACTAAATATATATTGACTTATTTCGCCTATAGGTTATTGTGCTGAACCATCCTGGCCAGATTGCCAATGGTTATACTCCGGTCTTGGATTGCCACACGGCCCACATTGCCTGCAAGTTTGCCGAGATCAAGGAGAAGTGCGACCGTCGCACAGGCAAGACCACCGAGACGGAGCCAAAGGCCATCAAGTCTGGAGACGCGGCCATTATCCTGTTGGTCCCGAGCAAGCCGCTGTGCGTCGAGAGCTTCCAGGAGTTCCCACCGCTGGGGCGCTTCGCCGTGCGCGACATGCGTCAAACTGTGGCCGTTGGCGTTATCAAGTCTGTTAACTTTAAAGAGACTACCTCGGGCAAGGTAACAAAAGCCGCTGAGAAGGCACAGAAGAAGAAATAACTAGGGTGCCAGCAGAACTTAAGCAACAGCAATGGCAACATCACCATCAACATAAACACCACCCGATTCCAAAAGCAACAGAAACAGCAGTCGGCTAGAGCCACACTCACACATGTCAAATTTATAATATCCACTCGACGATCAAATGCAAACCCTTGCTCTCTGGCAACCAACACCCCAATTACTACTACCACTAACCATACAGCATATAGACAACCCATTTCATACAACGAAAATGGACGCGAAAATTTCTTGCTACAGGCCCCAGCAGGCCCCAGAGCGGATTTCTTACGCTCTCTTACGCTCATCGTTCGTTCATCTTACGCTCATTCTCGCATTAAATGTTTTCTGTTTCTCAGTCTCTAAACGGAGCGCGATGAAGAAGGTTGGCCTGCGCTTCGGTTGATCTTTGTATGTATGCGTGTCACACATTCACATACATGGGTGTATGTGTGCGTGCGATTTCGTTTCGAAGCCAGCGCACAAAATTTTGATTTTTCTTACTTTTAAGGCTTGCTACCCTAACAAAATTCGGGTATTCGTTATTTGATGAAATGACGAAAGAAATTATATTATTTTGTATATTATATTTTTTTATTATTTCAGCATACATTTTTAATTTATTTAGGAATAAGATTAAGTGTTAGTAGTAAAATGTTTTCTGTATATATATTTTTACGAATCATTAAAAATCAATATACTGAGAAAGTGTCAGAGTATATTTCGGTCGGAGTCACTTAAAGCGCCGTTTGCTTTTAAGTTTTTGTTGTTCTGCAAGAGGCTTGTGCATGCCTACTCTAACGATGGAATGATTTTTAGGGGAGGGTGAAGACGGGTGAAGAATTAAATTACTTTTTAAAGTTATTATATATAAGGAAATATATATAAGGAAATTATTAAATTAACGACAATAATTTAATTAAATCTCACAATAACCCAAAATATAATAACAAGTGCCTGAAAAATTGTAAACAAAAAAGGTAAACAAGTCCATCAGCTGTTTTCGTGTCTTCACCCTCCCCTAAAAATCATTCCATCGTTAGAGTAGGCATGCACAAGCCTCTTGCAGAACAACAAAAACTTAAAAGCAATCGGCGCTTTAAGTGACTCCGACCGAAATATACTCTGACACTTTCTCAGTATATTGATTTTTAATGATTCGTAAAAATATATATACAGAAAACATTTTACTACTAACACTTAATCTTATTCCTAAATAAATTAAAAATGTATGCTGAAATAATAAAAAAAATAAAATAAAAATAATATAATTTCTTTCGTCATTTCATCAAATAACGAATACCCGAATTTTGTTAGGGTAGCAAGCCTTAAAAGTAAGAAAAATCAAAATTTTGTGCGCTGGCTTCGAAACGAAATCGCACGCACACATACACCCATGTATGTGAATGTGTGACACGCATACATACAAAGATCAACCGAAGCGCAGGCCAACCTTCTTCATCGCGCTCCGTTTAGAGACTGAGAAACAGAAAACATTTATTGCGAGAATGAGCGTAAGATGAACGAACGATGAGCGTAAGAGAGCGTAAGAAATCCGCTCTGGGGCCTGCTGGGGCCTGTCGCAAGAAATTTTCGCGTCCATTTTCGTTGTATGAAATGGGTTGTCTATATGCTGTATGGTTAGTGCTACTACTAACTGCGGCCCGCAGATACAGATATTATACAAAATCGAGCAGATACTACAATACATGATAACCAAACACACAATTAGCGAAGAAGAGAGCGGTAGATTACAGCCGGAATCTGTCCAGCTCCCAGGATCTGTCTTAGTCGCCTTCTGCCTGGTAGTCTACTGCATTTATCTTAACTTGTATCGCCATCGCAAGTCCTTCCGCAGGAAACGCAGGGCGTCGTCGTGGGAATTGTCGCCAGGATTCGATGGAGCACAGCCCGTACTGTAGCCGCCTGCCTCTTCGATATATACATATATATATACTCATCTAACTAACTTTACACTTGATTAGCAGCCACACACATCCTGTCGTGATCATCCACCAGTCTCGAATGGATTTTAAACACTTTTTCTACTTTTGATAAGTCAGGTCGAGGCATTCGATTTAAAATCTATTATACGATGTAATTTCCGAATTTAGTTTTAAACCATGCCCACACACTAAAAAGATATGAAAAAAAAAGAAAGACTACATTCGCGATGAATTCAAAAATTTTTCTTGAAACAAAAAGACAAATGCTTAAGAAGTATTAAAAAAAATCAACAATTACACACATAATCATGCGGTTTTTGAAAACATTTTAAATGTTCGATTCAGCCTCATTTTGCATTTTCATGCCACATTAGATACGTTACCCACTTGTCATTGCCCCATAACCGCCATAACTACACGTTACATTTTCACAATCTGAATTTATATGAATCGTAAACCATTGTAACCGACACCAAATCAATTCATGGATACAGAACATGTTGCTTAATAAAAAGATCTTTTAAATGATGAGAAAAATAAAGGAAGCTTAACCGTAAAACACAGAAACCTCTTTTGTTTATTTTTTAGGGAAGGAGTACAATCGAAGGTTTATGCAAAGATTTTTAATAATCGTATGACTAAATATGACTATAAACGATTATTTTTCCTTCTGTACAAAATATATAGTTACTATATTATAACACATAAACCGAGGTCTTGTAAAACAGCATTTTTAAATATTACTTGTAAACCCTTGCAGGGTATTACAATTTTGGTCAAAAGGAGGCCTCTCCGACCCTATAAATTAATCATGATCCCCTCCTCAGTTGATACAAACATGTTCGTTTGTCTGTTCCTTCATGAGGTAATTATGAAAGTCGGAACTGCCGGGAACGAGCGACTATATCTTATTGTAACTTCCATAACTTATTGTAACTTGTGACATTGGATTTATAATGAAATTCAAGTAACGAAAGATATTTGCGATATACATATGTACATCCGATCTTAACTGCATGGGAATGTAAAAGGAACTTTTTTCTTGTTAGTTTTATAAACTTATTGGAGATAATGGAGCTATATAGATTTATTTCTAATTTAAAAATAATATTATTTAAATTAAATTTTGAATTTATAATTTTATAACCAAAGGATATCAAGTGGCGCCTTTAAATGATGGGCTCCATCTTAAGGCTTTTCTATAGTTTTCCAAATGTCTTGACACCCATCCTTATAATTTTCAAAATCGTTTCACAATTGCTAGTTTGGCGAAAAAAGCTAAAAACGGTACCCCTGGTTGATGAGAGGGCTACAAAAGTAAAATAGGTGCTGCCAACTAGCGTGATTAACCAACAAAAAAATGGTCACACTTATTTTACAAGATCTTCCACCCCTGGTTTGCAAATGTTGGGCTCCATCTTGGCACTCTTCTCAATTATTTCCGTAGCGATGGCCAACAAGGAGCGTACTTTTATCATGGTCAAGCCTGACGGCGTCCAGCGTGGACTCGTCGGCAAGATCATCGAGCGCTTCGAACAGAAGGGCTTCAAGCTGGTCGCCCTGAAGTTCACCTGGGTGAGTAGTTAATTTGATTAAAATAAAATCAATAGCTGACGCCGGTGCACGAGGGGTTACCTTCGGATCTAACCTCAAATTGCGCTGCAGGCGTCATCAGATTTGACATGTGTCTTGTGGAGGTCATAGAAGCAATTAAGAGATAACATTGCAACCCTTCTCTATTTTGTAATCATTACAGGCCGACAAGGAGCTGCTGGAGAAGCACTATGCTGATCTGTCCAGCCGCCCCTTCTTCCCGGGATTGGTCAGCTACATGAACTCTGGACCAGTGGTCCCCATGGTTTGGGAGGGTCTGAATGTGGTCAAGACCGGCCGCCAGATGCTCGGTGCCACCAACCCCGCCGACTCTCTGCCTGGTACCATCCGTGGTGACTTCTGCATCCAGGTCGGACGCAACATCATCCACGGATCCGACGCCGTCGAGTCTGCCGAGAAGGAGATCGCTCTGTGGTTCACCGAGAAGGAGCTGGTCAGCTGGACTCCAGCTGCCACCAACTGGGTCTACGAATAAATGCATTAAGAGTTCGCATTACTCAGTCTCTCAGCCTAAGTTAAACACAGAGATTCTTCAAAAGAAATAAAATTCCACAACATACATACATATACTTATTAGAGAGAAGAATAATGGTTTTTACTTATATAATAGGTATTGATATAACAGGTATTGAAAACATGGAGGGCCCTGAAAATCGATCTGGGAAGTTGCTTATTTTCCCCTCTCCCAGACCTTTGGTTTTTCGAGGGCGTCTATATTTGTACCCGGGGAAACCGGCAGCTATATTGGATTTTAAAAATACATTCATCATTAAAAAACAGCGATTAATGGAACCACACAATTTTCACATTCTTACCAAAATAGCAAGCCAAAAAAGAACAAGAATTATTTTATTTAGTTTTCTGGAGGTTCAGCTTTAATTTTAATATATCTATCTAGATTTTCTAGTATGATATTCGCTTTTGAATCAGTTCTGTATTGCATCCACGGATGCGTTGGATTTTCGGGAGGTAGCACCCATCCACGGGGTATGCAGGAGGCTCCTTTCCTTTGGCTTATATAAGAATCCCATATGGTTCTAAAAAATCCAAGCCCTTAAGGTTATTTACTTTAAAATATTTAATGAACCTTACCGATTCTTGAGGAATGTATTCTTGTTTTTTCTCTCCTGTTGGGAACCTGATCCAAATAACACCATGTCCCATTGGGCGTCTATACTGGATTCTTTCTTGGCACTATGGATGTTGTCACTTTCGCATTCTTGTTGAACTTGTTTCCATACGTGGCGCATATGGGAAAGTTTCTGGTCCAAGGCGGCCTTGTCCCCACCTCGGGATTCACACAATTTCCTCAACAGATCAAAGGTCTGTAAAATGGATGCTGCATCCTGCCGCTTTTTCAGGCAAATGTGTTCAGCCGGCTTATTAGTGTTTGGAGCTGAGACCGGCTCAATTTTAATTTGGTCTAAAATCTTTAGGTCTTTCGATTTTTTGGCTTCCAATCTCCGTTGCTTGTTTCTTTGTTTTTGTAAGCGATGCCGGCGTTTTTTATGTTTTGTTTTGCCGGCTACTTTATGGGCATCAACTTGGTCAAGTGCATCCAACAGGGTTGTCGTGCGTCGCTGTAGCTCTTCCGCCTGTCCCACATCAAAGTCCGATTGTTTGGCATTACAAAGATCCTCTAATTGTTCTAAATTATCAAGAATATTCGTTACACTTTCTTTAATTTCGCTCAATTTCGGTTGTTTCTTGGTAATTGTTTCCATTATAATGACCAGTGTTGTAAAAACAGTTTAGGATACAGCTGGTGTTGATTTGATAAAGTTTTTTTTTTATTTATTTTCAAATTTTAACACAAGGGTTATTAATTACAATAATAAAGATTGTATCAAATACTTGAAATTTGAGACTAACGGCCAGCTGGCCGAGGTAAAATGAGGTAAATAATTAATGGGTTTTAAATGCTATAAAAGGGAATGTGCGGTTGTCGTATAAATTCATAATCCCAAGACAGTTTTGGCATCACTTATAACTTCTGCGGCCTTGGTGTACGCCTCGGTTTCTTTGAGATCCTGCTCGTCTTCGAGGAACTTCTGCAATGTCTCGAACTCCCGTATGAGTCTGAAAAAATAAATAAAGGTTATACATTATTATCTTGTAAAAAATATTTTTGGCGGAAAATACCTTCTCTTTGAGTCTGGAACCATCATCTCACACTCCATAATGACCTCCTCCTGCTTGCGCAGCACATGCTCGTCAGCTCCATCATTCTTAAACTTTTCTAAGCGGGTTCTTTCCGTGCGGACCTCCTTTTCATAGACGGTCTTCTCCTTGGCTAAACGTTTGACGACTCCTGTCTTTATTGTCAATTGGCGAATGCGTGGATCGGCCATTTCTGTGCTTTTGCGGATCTATTGATATCTCGACTGAAGTTAATTATGCCCAAGAATGAAGTTATAAGTCTTAGTCACAGGTATTTAATGGAAAAGTGAACAGCCGGCTGAGATTCTAGTGCTTTGTTGTTTTTACAAAGGCCGCCTGTGAGTCAGAGATAGAGTTGCCACCACCTTTTGAAAAACTCGAAATTAAGTCAACCGTTACGAGCGGTTAATTTAAATTTTGATTGGGGTATATAAATATTTACGAGTCCTTTTTATGTTTCAATCAATTAAGTAGCTTAGCCGTTATCTAACATATAATGTGAAACTAAATTATGTCAACATTTTATTATTGAATTTTATCCGTCAAAAATACAAAAATAGTGGTTGCATCCAGTCTCAAATACAAGAATAAAAAATACCAGCAGTCACGTTTCAAATTCTTTTATATGCCGATAAGATTAGATCAGCGTTATCAAACTACGTGACAAAAACAAGAGTTTACAAATAATATAATATATACAGTTTAAATATGCAAATATGCTATGTGAATCATTTCGTCCCATCCAATTTCGTCAACCCATCAGCGTACTGGAACTCAGGACTGTTCTCATATTCGCACATGTCCAAAGCGATAATGCAACTTTCCTTGACCACTCGCTTTTCGTCCTCCGCGTAACGATTAAGGATCTGAATGCAGTCCTCAGTGGCAATAGCTCCCAAAGCCTCTGCGCACTCATGACGCACCATTTCGTTCTCAAAACGGTCTTCGAGGTTCTCCTGCAGATAGGGAATGCTGCAGGGTTCCTGCAGTTGTCCAAGTACAAAAGCCACCTCATGGCGGAAGAGTGCAGATGAGTCCTTTAATCCCTCAGCCAGGGCGAGAACGCTCTCTTCGGTACGCAGGTTTCTTAAGCTAAACATAGCCCTGTAGCGATCGAATAAACTTTGCTTAGCATCCAAATACACGCCTTTCAATTCGGCAAAGGTTTTTTCTCCTGAAGCCGGAGGCGAGGGGTCAACAGAGGCATACGGATTATTGTCATCCACCTTCTGACCGCTCTGAACCCAACGCACGCGGTCAAGAGCAATAGCACAAGTCTCCGCCACTTCCACAACCGGATCCTTTTTGTACTCTTCCAGAATGGCCAGCACATCGGGGTGTCCAATGGCTCCCATGGCTTCTGCCGCCTCGTGTCGCACCATAGGCTCTTGAGTAGTGTCTTTTAGCACTTTGGTGAGTATGTCTAGAGCCTGAGAATCCTGCATTTGACCCAAACAGTATGCCAATTCGTGTTTAAGCAGAGCGGAATCATCGTCGAAAGCCTTGCTTATTGCCTCGATTGCCGTTCCTCCTCCAATGTTCTTCAGAGTGAATAGAGCACGGAATCGTTCCTTAAGGGGTCTCTCCTTATTGTTAAGGACTCCTCCAATGGCTCGAATTTGCTCTTGTGAGACCATTTTGTATCTGAGCAATGAATATTAATAACTTTATAAATAAAGTGAGTTTACTAAGCGCGTGGGAACTATGAAGTGACGTTTACCAGCACTGATTTTGAGATGGGTGTTGGTCAATAGACTTAAGTGTTTCCTACTTGCCCAAAAATTTGAAACAGTTTAAAAATGTATTCTGATCATCATTATAAAATAACGCTAGAAATATAATAATATATAATAATAATGACAAAAACCTATTTTCCCCACTCTATTAATGTAAGAACTTCAGATAATACGGCAAGTTCAAAATTTTATTCGAAGGCGCTGCCACTTGTCAGGTATATCAGGAATCCGGCCATGCTACCATGCTACTTTATGCTTCGTAGGTGACCAGATTATTTTGCACGTTGCAAAAAGAAAAAATGAGTCAAAAAAAGAGAACAATGGTTCATTTTAAGTCATTCACCAACACCACTTTGGTTTGCCATTCGCAGCGAACACTCATTTTTACCAGCACTGAAAAAAAGGCCGCACGCCAGAAAGAGCATTATGCAGCACTACCTAGGAAGAAGAAGTTGAGTTACGTTTACCAACGTCAAGACTCGATAAAGAAACAAGAGAAAAGTGCAAAAATAAAGCGAATAATCGCCAATAAAAATAAGCAAAAAAAGCCCAAGTGTATTTCACTTCTCAAGTAACAAAAAAAAACCGGTACCTTTTGAGGCAAGTGCTCGCAAACGGCATTTGTAAAAGTTGCGCGTTCACGGTAATTGTGTGCGTGGAGGGAGCGAAGCGTGGACGCAGAGTGGAATAAACTCGCCAGCGCCAGTCGATAGCGTTTTGAATTCACTTATTTCGCAATTCAGTGGACCAGCATAATTAGCAACTGCAACTGAGCAATGTCGGAGGCAACTATAGATCAGAAGCCGGCGTCCGCAGAGGAGACCCCAACGTCATTGGATGAGAAAAAAACACCCGTAAGTAGCGTACATATTTAGTGACAATTAACAGCACAGCGATAACGCACACAAGCCTAACTACACCAGCCGAATTATCTGCGGTGTTTTTCCAAAATGCCCCTTACAATTTTCTGCCTGCATATGGAACACAATTTTAGTGCATATCCAATTTTGTTTTATCGCCAGTTTTCTATTTACGTTTATTTTTTCCATTTCCTCGTGTGCGCGCGCTTTTTCATGTCCATTTCCAACTTCCCCCCCTGAAGCCACGGTAGTGTGTGTGTGTGTCTGTATACGTGTGTATTACTCGCTCGAATAAAGAGGCAATCGGGGTTTCTCTTTTGGGCTCACGTTTTGCCGCTGCCGCGTCTCGTTTGTTTTTATTTTTGCTTGTTCTCTTTTCGACTTTTTGTTGTTTGCTGTACTTTGTCATACACTGGCACAAACACTGTGTTTGCGTTACAGTCTCTGTTGCGTGTGTATGTAACATATGTACATGTCTATATGTACGTTGCGCTCCAAATTCGATTTTAAATTTTTAGATGCTAACTATTGATAGATCCAGCCGACCTACTGATCGACAGTAACTAGTGTGGGTTATGCTAGGATAAATTTGGATTAATTAGGCTGTAACAGTGTTGTGTTGGTTCACAATTGTTTACATCTGGAAATTGGGATAAAAGTTGAATCGGGAAACAATGTTAGATGGAGACGGAAATAGGAATACAGTACGGATTGACTATGACGCAAGTAAAGTAAGTGGATTAAGGGCGAAAGTATTTTATATTTTTAAGAATGAAAATGAAAAATAATATTAATGTTAATTTCATAATTTATTGAACTGTTCCGAAGCCGATAATTTGAATTTAATATTTAATAATTTGAATTTAATATAGATAATTTAAATAATTATGAATTTATATTTTTAATATAATATTTTCTATTGCAGAAGCGCACTCCGAAACGCCGATCATTCATTGAGCGGGCACAGCGGGAAAGCGAGGAACTGGTACGAACGATGGGTGGCAGTTTGGAGCTTGAGGGCGGTCGGCGCACGCGATCCAGTACTCGCGGGACTCCGACACGGGCCGGCGATACAGTGACGCCGCCACCTAGCAAGAAGGCACGCACATCACCGGCATCGACTACCAAGGCTAGTGGAGGTGGTGGTAAGGGTCGCGGGGCACGCAAGCTGGACGTGGGCGGCGAGGAGCCTGAGCCAGAGCCGGAAAAGGTACAGACACCAACAAAGGGAAAGGTAAATAAACAACTTAAACACGATTGAGTTCCTTTTAACTGAATAGTGCACTTTTTCAGACACCGGCCAAAAAGGAAAAGAAAGAGGTGAAGAAGGTTGAAGAGCCGGCTGAAGAAGAAAAAACCGTGGTGGAGGAGGTTGAGAAGAAGGAGAAGGTGGAGAAGGTCCAGGAAACCAAGAAAACAGATGCCACACCAGCCGCTGATCAACCGGATGCTGTGGGAGAGTTACCAGCAGTAGCAGAGGAGAAACAAAACCACATTGAAGAAGCCAAACAAACTCCCGAAGAGTCAGAAAAAGCTGAGGCGCAGGCTGAGAAGGTGGAAGATTTGCCTAAAACCAACGATACTGCTGAGAACGGTGCTGCGAAAGACTCTCTTGCTGCTGTAGATTCCGAGACTGCTGCTATGGACGTGGACGAGGAGTCTCCCGCTGCTACACCTACTGAATCTGCCGATGCACCTGCAGTGGTGGAAGAAAAAACAGAGGATAAGGCCGAACCGGCAGTACCTGTTGCGGAAAAGCCGAAAGACCCAGTTGAACCTGCCAAGGAACCCACTCCAGAACCCATGGAAGTGGATGCGAGTTCAAAGGGTAGTTCGGACACCGCCCAGGTGGAAACGCCAGCTACAGAGGAAGTTGTTGCTGAACCAGTGCCCGAGTCGGTCGTGGAGGCGGAGTCCACAGATACCAGCAAAAAGGTGGATGAGGTGGCTACAGAAGCCAAAGAAGTCGTTCCAGAAGTGCCCGCTGTGGAATCCAAGGAGGCTGAGAGCACAATCGAATCAGCAGAGCCCAAGGAAGTAATCCCACCCGCTGCTGAAATCAAGGAAGCGGACAGCAGTGAAGAGCCCAAGGTTGTAGAGAGTTCCGTGGCAGAGTCCAAGGAACCTGAAAGCACATCGGATGAGAATGCCACGCCTATTGCCGCCGAGGTTCCAGCCGCCCCCGCCATTAATGATGTCATCAAGCCCGTGGTGGTGGTGGCAGATGACGCCAGTGCTGTTGTCGCGGAGAGTCCTTTGAAGGAATCGACGGTCATAAGTGATGTTAACAAAGAACCCAATGTTAATGGTATGAAACACATACAAACTACCTTATGTACATTATTAACTATTTCGTTTTTCAGGAGAGCCCAAGATCGTCAACAGTTCCGCCGAAGTGGCTGAGAACGCAGCGCCAAAGGTCTGTAACTAGGCCGATCGATCCACCGATGGACAACCAACAACTGTAATGCGTTTGAGGATGTGTACAAAAATGTCTTCAGCCTGCCCGCCGGGTCGGTGAGGATGTGGCTAACGATACGCAAATATTTAAGAGTTCCCCCCGTCTTTAATGCAAAACACACATACTGTTATGATTTTTTTTACAACTGACTACTTTATTTCGTACTCAATAATAACTTCAATTTGATGATAGTCCGTGTCTTCCAGTTTTTGGTTGACAGGATGGACGGCATAGGCCGCAATCGATGCTGGACTTTCAATGTTGCACTGTGCGCGTCAACTGAACAGACATTCGAAACAGACAAACAGAGTAGTTTCGATTCTTATCACACCCATCCCACCCGCCCCTCTTCCCAAAATATACACAGACAGATTGTGAAATTGCATCTAAATATAAAGAGTATGTGTATAATCAATCAAATCGGAATCAAACAAATTATACATTGCCGGAATGTATGTAAAATAGATGTTTTTAAATTGTAAGACACTAATATCTCTAATTCTAAAACCCAATTGGACAAAACTCAAAAACAACTAAGTAAACTAAAACGCGGAAAGATTTTAACCCATCGTAACGCAATATGAAAGCTCCGCGGCTATTAAGGATACGTCTCTATGAATACCTTAACCCCTTTTTGAATATTTTTGTATTTCAAGCATGTTTTATTTGAAGCATTTAGTTTTTACGTAAGACCAGGAGCCGATTTGCAGTCAGTGGTTACGGATGAGCTCATTGGAAACTGTTGTTCTAGCTAAAATGTCCTTCCAGGCGACTTCTCCTAACTGAATTCGTAAATACATGCCAGAGTAAAGCGCAAACTTTTTCAATGAAAAATTTAAAGGAGAAACACAAATTCGTATAATATTAAATATATATAAATACAGCAAAAGCGTAAATTAGTTTTGGAAGCTGTTGCAACTGAAATGATCAGTCAGACCGTTTTTGTATGTAGCTTTTCTTCTGTATAAGGCATTCTTCATTTAAATATTCTTTTGTAAATAAATCTTTAAAAAATACAAGAGAACCCAAAAGTGTTTGTTTTTTTCATTATAAATAATGGATGGGTCATTTTATTTCGGTTTTCATGGGCTCTTTGAGCTCTTTTTCTTTATAACCTCCGAAAGGATATTTCCTATAACTATGCTATTCTAATGAAATGTAATTTACAAATGTGATGACTTTTCGGCATCTCTCTCAATGCCGTTCTCCTTATTCTTGTCTTCATCTTCGGGCAGTGGTGCCTTAAGGGGCAGCTCCTCCAGTTCCAGGGTCGGACCTGGCTGGTTTAGTAAGTTCCGCACGAAAGGTGAATAAAGTTTGGGGTTCTGCTTCTCATCCTTGCTGGTGGGCCACACAAAGCTCATGGGAATAGCCCAGGCAAAGACCAGAATGGCACCCAGCACCTTGTACCAGTAGAAGGAGATGTCGTAGATGGAGAATTCGCGGTCACTGCTAAACGCAGTGGTTACAGCCTTGGGCGCATCTAGTGAAGGAACAGGAGTGGTCGCAACTTGGGTGAGGTTGTTGTTTCTAAAAAAAATCGAATATTTAAATGAAGTGTTAACCATTATAATTTAATTTTTACTTACATAGCTCGCAAGATGACCTGGAAATCACGGGCCTCGCACTTGTCTAAGCCATTTGGCAGCGTGTCATAACGGATGAGCCCCGCCTTGAAGTTCAGCTGTCCATTAAAGATGATCCACAACATGGTCAGGACACTGAAGGCAATGCCTGTTACTGCTACTTTGGCATTGCAGCGAGGCACAAACATTCCGAGCAAGAATACTCCCACAACAGCTCCAGTATTAATGCCCGTTATTGTCCACATGGTCTGGATGATGGAGTTGAAGTTCTGGACCACGAGTCCTCCCACAATGCAGTAGGCGCCCATTGCCACGATCACCAACTTCATAATGCCATTGGCCCGGGCCTCTGTGTGTCTGATATGGGGCTTTATGTAGTCAAAGTACACCACTCCGGCGAACGAGTTCAAGTTGGCCGAGAGGGAGCTCAGAGAGGCACTGAATACACAGGAGATGAATACTCCTGGCATGCCCATGAGATGACCCATGATGTCCTGGATGAAGAACGGCATCAGCTTGTCTGGTTTGCTGACCAGCTGCAAGTAAACAAGGCCCACGTGTGTTAACACATATATGTATATAACTCTGGAAGATGTAACTGCGTTACTAGTTAATTCTACTAGTTGTCACTCTTTACGAGCTCTTCAAAATCGAGATAAGTATTTGATAAGTGTCTTACCCCAGCCTGAATGGGATCGCACCCGTAATAGTAGGCAAACATGATGATGCCCGCAAAGCAGGTGAAAGTCATGATAAGCAGGAAGCCAATTCCAGCCATAACCAGGCATCTGCAATAAAGATACGGAAAGTTGGCAAATTCTCAAGGCATTAATCTCAACTCATTGCTAACCGTTTGGCATGGTTGTACGAAGGCAGGGACACGATTCTCTGGACACAGCTCTGGTCCAACCCCACTTTGCCAGTCCACATAAGCAGGCCACTGAAAATGCCACTCCAGAAGGTGATGCGCAGACGGGGATCCAAAGAAAAGCTAACCCAGAAGTACAATAATTACCTAATGCATCATAAAATGTTAATGGACTTACTTGAAATCAAGACGGCCACCCTCGGAGGCATTTTCGAGGACAGTGCTTAAGCCACCAGTATTTATGGTGCCTAGAACGGCCACCAAAATCACGGAGATCAGCATAACACCACCCTGCACCACATCTGTCCAAACGACGGCCTTAATCCCTCCCAGCATCGTGTAGAAGACACAAATAGAGGAGACCACCGTGTTGATGAGATGGATATTGTATCCCGTGACTGCAAATGAAAATGAATTTTAATTTTGCCACTCCAATCCGTGTGATTAAAATCAATTTTCATTATACCTTGTGAGAATGCCAGTGCTGGAACGAACATGAACACGGGCAGCATCAGAAACTGATTCATGACGAAGGTGATGGTCACCAGTTGGCGAGTGCGCTTGTTGAAACGCATTTCAAGGTACTGGAAGCATAAAACAATGTCATTAAAAGTCTCAGATAGATCCTTTTCCACCTACCTCGTAGCAGTTGGAAACTCCGTTCTCATAAAAAACAGGGACAATGACATAGACCAAGATGGGTATGGCAAAGATCATAGCAAGCATAACGAATATGATGTTGAATCCGAACGCGTAACTATCCGCCGGAATGGACATCATGGCTACTCCGGAAAGCTGACTGAAATATAACAGACAAATATTATTATTCTCCTCTAGAAAGGGGGCTCGATGTTAAATATACTTGAAAAGGTTAAATAGGAATATGACAACTACGCTGAGTCTCCAGTTTTATGGACTTCCCAACTGGCGTGTGCTGGTTTTACTCGATAGATAAGACTTTACTACTAGGTGGGTGGGTTGTGTCTTTATCTTCAGGCATGGAAATGACGACATGGAAATTTATTGAAAAATGGCAGAAGGCTCACCTCGAGACTAGGGAAACGGCCACTGGGAAAGTGGGCATCTTCTTGCCACCCTGAAGGTACTCCTCGGTGGTGTTTTTGGCCTTCGAGAAGAAGCCAAAGTATACTCCTATACCCGCAGAGGCACTCAGCATTAGGGTGAAAACCACATAGTCCGTAATGCTGAACCGGAGGTCCTCCATGGTTTCCGCTGCGGCGGAGGCTACCGTACTGGCCAAGACGCTGGCTGTGCTCGCCATCCTTGAAATATCCTTTTCCGGATCCTAGAGACCGTTGAAAACTCACGAAGTGCAGACGTTGCACGATTGTTGATCCGGAAAAGCGGGAGCTGTACGTCCGGATGCTGGGAGCACACTTGTGGAGTTTGGTGTGGACACCCCGTCTTAAGTAGCGATCTCCACGTTATCTTGTCACGATATCTGCACCAGTCTAGGTGAGTCGTAAATGGAGCAGCCGCCTCGTAAATCAGGAGTGCTCCTTATCTGCCTTACAGAGAAAAAGACTAACTTAACCAGTTCCATCTGATCTTTTAATAGTTGTTACACCCTCTAAAGTGGATGAGTTCCAAATATTTATTACAACGAGTGTGAAGTTCTTAGTTATGACCACTATCTGCCTTTGGATAACTCCTTTATCAATTAAAGTTTCCTTTTAATCGCTTTTATACTTTCTTGTTCTTCTGACGTAGATGATAAAAGTCATAAACGGGGATCTCAAAGTTATATGGTTGTCGTACGCATCTACGAGTCTAAAAATAATAATAATTGAAGTTAGACCTTCAATTACCCTCTGGGACGTTCAACTTAGATTCAGTGATGAAATCTGCTTTAGATAGGATGATACGATATTTTTGTAATGGGTTTTCACTTACATGGTTACACGATTAAAAAGTATCTTACTTATTAAGCTTACGATGTAATTATTATAGATTTTCAAAGGTATTCTCCGTTATCATACAGTCATTCAGAAAAAAATCATAGTCTACTCAAGACTAGTAGTCCTTTTGGATTAGTATTTTTTTTTTTCACAACGAATAATATTTGTAATTTATACTTGAATAAATCATTTAAAATCATTAAAAATAATATTGTTTGGTCTACATAACTCACGTATTTTTTTATCAGTATAATCCCTCCAAAATAAAGCTGACTCAGTAGGAATTTTTTCAGTACCTCCAGAGCAGTAGAACACATATTTTTCTTAAAGCACCACCCCCATCACATAGATAAGAACTGGAATGGTCAGGATCATGGAAGTTTTTATCCGTACAAGGGGACAACGCACCCACAACGCTAGCTGGCTTATCAATCTACGTTTAATTAAATAAATTATTACACACATGTGCACAATTATGAAAATATACAAACATATCATATTATCACTAGGTTCTGTTAATGATTTCCGCAAAAAAAGGGGGCTCGAACATAATTTGATTAATTTCACAAGGTTCGCGAGAAAATGACAATTCATGTAAGCACCTCAGGTTTATGGATTTACTAACTTGAAGGCTCACATTGATAAGATAAATGAAACCGACAGACGTAGTAGGCAAATAGATAGATGGGTTGGAAATGGATATTATCGCTATGGGGAATTATCTTTATGGGCCTGTGGCGGGTGTCTGCCTGCCGTTGCCTGGGATTCGTGGTGACGAAACGGTAATTTAATCAAATCGGCTCCCGGTACACTCACCTGGAGGTCAGGGAAATGGCCACCAAGAAAGTGGGAACAGTATCTTAAAGACCATAAATCAAGAGGGAATCACAGATGGGCAACATTTTAGTATTTAAATATTCAGTAGTATCTTATATTCCAAAAATATTATTAAAGGTTAAATAAAAGGTCAGAATTATCAGATAGGAATTTAAAAAAATATTGCTGCCTACATTTAAGGGCAATCTTTAGGTGCTGCGATTTATTGGGAATAGGATTATAAGGAGATAAAATGGTTTTTCTAATAATGGACTGATTTTTCAATAATGTTGTCGGGTTACAATTGGCTTGCATATTAATTTAGATCAATTGATTTAAATTAATGGTGAATGGATAATATTTATCTCATTCTTTGATCTATTCTTTTCAAGTTCCTTGAATGGATTTTCTGGTATAAACATCCTATTATTAGAATATTGTTACCAATAAATAAAAAATGTTATCCCCTCTGAAAAGTTCCAAAAAAATACTTTAACTTAATTTGTTTAATTAATCATCTTGTTTATTTATCACCCTAAATTCAATTTAATAATATAAAAGAAATTAGTGTTCGAGTCCGGCTTCCTTTTCCTTTCCAGTGGGATCTATCCGAAGATCGGGAATTTCAGTGACTTGTGGTCCTCGCAGAGGAACTTCCTCCTGTTCCTGTCCTGCTTTCGGATGGTTTAGGAACTTTCTCACAAACGGCGAGTATAGCTTGGGATTCTGTTTCTCGGTTTCATCTGGTCGCCAGATATAACTCATGGGCACTGCCCAGAGGAAAATCAGAAATGTTCCTAGTACTTTGTACCAATAGAATGAGATGTCGTAGAGCGAGAAGTCCCTGTTGCTGTCAAAGGCAGTGGTAACCGGTAATCCTGAAGGGGGCTTTGCTGTTACTGGTGTGAAGTCCGTTTTGTTGCTAAGGAAAATATTTGGATTAGTTGAATATTTTATTAAAAAACTTTCAATACTTACATGGCAGCTGATATAATGTCCAGTCCACGGGCTTCGCATTGATCTAAACTGTTTGGCAGCACATCGTATTTGATGAGTCCGGTCTTGAAGTTGATCTGGCCATTAACAATAACCCACACCATGGCAATTACGCTGAATATGATAGCTGTCACAGCTGTCTTGGCATTGCAACGTGGCACAAACATTCCCAAGAGGAACACCCCCACAACTGCACCTGTGTTAATGCCGGTAATGGTAACCACCGTCTGCAGAATCGAGTTGAAGTTCTGCACCATGAAGCCACCGAGGATGCAGTAGCCACCCATCACCACCACTATGATCTTCATGGACCAGTTGGCTTTGGCCTCTGTGTGCTTGATCCAGGGCTTTATATAATCGAAGTACATCACTCCGGCTAGGGAGTTAAGGGTAGCCGACAGGGAACTCAGGGCAGCACTGAAGACACAGGAGATGAAAACTCCAGGCATTCCAGTTAAATGACCCATGATGTCTTGGACAAAGAAGGGCATCATTTTGTCCGGTTTGCTGACCAGCTAAAAGAAAAAAACAATAATGAGTTTATATTGAAAGTATTATTAATTAATACTAACGCCAGCCAAGAGGGGATCGCAACCGAAATATCTCGCAAACATAATAATACCCGATACTGTGTTGAGTAAACAGATGATCAGAAATCCAATGCCAGCAATAATCAGGGACCTTTAAGTAATATCATAATAGGGTAACAATTATTTCGATTGGAGTATTGGTTGTGTATAGAATACTAACTTCTTGGCATGGAAATAGGATGGCAGTGAAACGATCCGTTGGACACAACTTTGATTCAGTCCAATGTGTCCTGTCCACATGAAGATGCCTCCCATGGTGGCACTCCAGAACGACATACGAATACGTGGATCCAAACGGAAGCTAAAGAAGATAATCGTATCAAAAAACGCACTCAAAAAATATAAAAATCTTACTCAAAGTTAAGCCTGCCGCCTTGGGAGGCGTAATCGAAAACGGTGGAGACGCCTCCAGTGCGGATCGTACCCAATACTCCCACGGATACTACCGAAAGTAGCATAATACTGCCCTGGACCACATCGGTCCATACCACCGCCTTGATTCCACCCAACATGGTATAGAAGATGCAAATGGAGGACACCATTATGTTGATCAGATGAATGTTCATGCCGGTTACTAAAAGTAAAGTTTTAGTTAGTTATGGAATATTAAGGAATGTACCACGTACCTTGGGAAAAGGCTAGAGATGGTATAAACATGTAGACAGGTAACATCAAAAACGAGTTCATCACAAAAGTGGCGGTCACCAATTGGCGAGTACGCTTATTAAATCTCATTTCCAGGTACTACAAAATTAAAAATATTTATTAAAAAATAAATAAACATGTTTTAAGAACGTAGCTAACCTCATAGCAATTGGAGACATTATTTTCGTAGAATACAGGCACTATAATATAGATTAAAATGGGAACCACAACCACCATAGATAGGACAACGAATAGGTAATTAAATCCGTAGGTATAGCTCTCGGCGGGAATGGACATAATGGCAATGCCAGACAACTGACTGTAAGAGATAAAACATTATTAGTTATGGATTAGATCCATTTTCAGATTCTGGGTTTCCTTGTTGTTACGCAATGATCGTTATGACGATTTAAGGAAATCCTTGGGTTATTCTAAGAACCCAATTGACGTAAAGCTTTTTTACAATTGGACAATAAAGATAAGAAATGGCGGAATCCGGTAAAAGCCACTTAAATATGGATATTCTCACCTCGCTACCAAAGATATGGCAATGGGCAGGGTCTGCATCTTTTTCCCGCCGCGCAGATACTCCTCCGTGGTGTTCTTGGTCTTGGAGAAGAATCCAAAGTAGACGCCGATTCCAGCCGAGGCTCCCAGCATCACAATAAAAACAACATAGTCCGTAATAGCGAATCTGAGATCCTGCGAGGAGGTCACAGCGGCAGCGGCCATTGTGGTGGCAGTGGACATCCTTGTAGGGATTTTAGAACAACAATTTTTCACAACTACTTCTATGGCGTATGCACATGGCACGGATGCTGGGCTAACACTTGGGACCACCCTGGCCTGGTTTGTACTTAAATATCACTACGACTCCCTCGGAGGCGCCTCCTTATCTGAACTTGGTGTTGCCCCCGTATATCATCCGTGGGCTTAGCGCTGCACTTATCTGTCCGGCATGCCGCTCTTATATTGTATTATTTGTTTACCTGGCCTCTGCACAGTGGTCGGTTCCATAGGTCAAACATGAAAAACCCAAACATTTTCAGATAATATATGCCGTGGCTATTTACATACATATAATAGATATATGGCTTAAAGTGGGAAAAGTTGATTGGGATTCCTTTCGGAAGAAAACGGAGCCCAAAGAGAGAGCGGAAACCATGGAAACTGCAAAAAAAGAATACAATATAATTTAAAAGGCGAAATTAAAATGAACATTAAAGTTGACGAATATTTATTATAATTATAATTATTAAAATTTATTCAAATTATTTATTTTTATTTAATAAATGCCGATAAAGTCGATGTTCCTAAAAAATGTATTATTGTCTACCGTCACAATACAACACCGACCACTGTGCTCTGGTTCTTGCGCTCCCACATGGCCCCTCGTTTCAGAAGGGGCTGAGGTGATGCTATATAGGTGTTAGACAAGGAACTTGAACTATAACTCCGTATAACTAAGTTTACAAAACAAACTTTGTATGGAAACATTTCCGTAGAAGAAAGACGACACGATAAATACACTGCCTTGCTTTGCAAGAGGAAAATGTTAAAAGAAAGGCTTTAATACGGTCACTGGTCTTTCTTTCTTTAGAGATAGATCATAACGAAGTATTCTATAAACAAAAAGGTTTTCTATCACTGACTTCATAAATTTGTGTATCATCTCTAAAAATATAAGAGCATAAGTTTCCAAACACACAATAACCATAAAGTTGTTTTTTTGAAATTTGGATATCGATATGTACTATACATGTACTCTATAAGTATTCTCTTAAGATATTTAAAAATTGAGCAACACTATGAACCCCTTTTGCGCTTATTTTAAATAATCATAGCTCATAAATTTAATAAATTAAAAAGGAAGGGCTATTAAATAAGAATAACTATTAATAATTAATATAATAACTGCTGAATTTATGCATATAACGCATTATTTTCCATGTCGCTTCATAGGGTTAAGTTTCGGGTTTAAAAAAAGTTTAAAGTCCGTAAAAAGTTAATTTCATTAATCCGGAAAGTAATCTGCTGGATCTAACATATCTTATAGTATTAAAATAATTTATTTTAGCCGCGTGCCCAAAAACTTGTACGACTTTTGGTTTAATCATGGTGACACCTGAAGTGGAGACCCCCATTGCATTGTCTTTCCGATGACTTTTTGTCGGTTTATTATAATCATGCCTAAAATTCGGATCATTCATCACATGGTGTTATTTCTTCGAAAACGTCTATTTACTTTTCTCGCTTCTGTTGAAACTTTCCATTTTCAGTGTTTGCATTTGGATAATTTACCATTTTTGGACACGGGTAAATAGCCCCGTGTTCTGGGGTTCGTGCCTGGGGGCGTGGTAATAATTATAAGACCTCTCGCCCGAGTGTGTAAAAAGCTTAACACTGATTACGGTCCAAATATTTGCCAATGTCAGAGATAAGAATTTATTATCCTTTTTTTAGCGAGTTTTTCAATATACGATTCTGTCTCTGGGATCTTTTTCATCACAACGTAATCTGGTTTTTCATATCAAAGCATCCCAGGTTATTTTATAGATCGGACAATAAAGTTTTGTGTTTAGTCTATCTTGACGCACCAAGATTGTGGCTAATAGTGTTTGCACTTTTTCATTATTATATAGATAAGATGATTTCAAAGTTTTCTGCAGACAACACCAATCCGTCTGACCACCAGTCTAGTATACTTCAGGTTTTTCTGGATAGATCCGCATACAGTGTTGTTTCTACTAAAATACAAGCACTCAGGAGGTAAAAAATTCACTTGGTTTCTATGTACATATGTTCATTGAATTTTATTTTTAACAGATTTAAAAAATAAAAATATACATATATATAGATTTACAGATTTTAAGATTTTTTTACTTTTTACTATTTTACTATTTTTTATTTCGTTTAAAGAGGTACGACTGCCAGTTCCTATCTTAGAAATATCTTTATACCACCCCAATGCTTATAAAGCATATCTTATGGTTAATAGCCCCAGTTCTCATTTGAACCCTCAGGCCTTTTCGGGTTTCTCCAATTTTAGTTCGTATGGCTCCTCCAGTTGCGCAGGTTGATAATTAACAAATGGCTGGACCACTGGGGAGAGAAGCTTGGGGTCCAGCTTGGATCTGTCCTTCAGGACATAGCTTAGGGGAATGCCCACTAGCCAAGTGATGAGGAAGCCCACAACCACATACCAGTTGAAAGATAGGTCTAAGATGCTGAATCCCTCATCCTTAATCGGCGCTTCTACGGTTGAACTCAAGAGTACAGACGATGGAGTGGTCAAGGTTTCATTGAATGTGCCAGCAGGACATCCGTCTGTGTGTTTGGGCAATGTGTCGTAGTGGTTGCGACCCCAGCTGAGAATTACGATGGAGGCCATGCACACAATACTGGCAAGTACTCCACTTAGGGCCCCCTAAAAAGAATAAAATTTACATTAAAATACATTTAGAATAATATGTAGAATATAATCATAAGTACCTTTCCATTGACTTTGGGGACGAGCATGCCCAAGAAGAAGACGGCACAATTGGCGCCAAAGCTGACGCCTCCGATCGAGTATATCACCTGGAGAATGGACGTGAATTTCTCCACCACCATGCCTCCGAAGATGCAGTAGATTCCCGCGAAAAGTACAAATCCTTTCATGATCACATTGGCTTTGTGCTCAGTGTGGATGATATGGGGCTTGATGTAATCAAAGTACACCACTCCGCCGAGGGAATTAATGCTGGCGGAGAGGGTACTGAGAGCAGCACTGAAGACGCAGGATATAAAGACACCCGGCATGCCCGACAAGTGCCCCACAGTGTCCTGTACGAAGTAGGGAACCATTTTATCCACTTTCGAAACATGGCCGGCTTCCATAGGGTCGCAGGCATGGAATCGAGCATACATGACAACGCCAGTGAAGCAGTTGAAGAACATGATGATAATAAATCCCAGGCCGAAGAGAACTAGGGATCTGGGAATAAAATGGTTTTTGGAAAATGTAGCAATAATTCAAATTAGAGTTATGTACCTTCTGGCATGTCCCAGCGAGGGCAGGGAGACAATTCTCTGAACGCAGCTCTGATTCAAGCCAACGTATCCCGACCACATCAGGGTGGCCGAACTGAAGATATTCCAAATGGTGGACCTTGTGGTCGGATCGAAGTTGAAGCTTTAAAAGTCGTACACAATTAGCAATGATTTAAAAAAAACGTATTGGGTAAACATTACTTCACATCCAGGCGACCTCCTTCCCCAGCAATTCGAAAGACCTCGGAGAAGCCACCCACTCTGTTGGCGCCCATCACGCCCACCAAAATCACAGAGAACATCATGATGGCTGCTTGAATGACATCCGTCCACACAACGGCCTTGATTCCGCCCTATAAGAGGTTCGAATTTTTAATAATCAAACGTTATATAATTTTCTACATTCATTGTACTTACAAACATGGTATAAAAGACACAAATTCCACACACAATAGTATTTATTATGTGTACATTGTAGCCAGTGACTAAAAAATTGTACAGTTTTTAATTAGGCCCCTATTATTGGATAAAAAAGTAAAACAACGTACCCTGCGAAAAGGCCAATGACGGCAGGAATATAAAAATGGGCAGCATAAAGAACATGGTCGAGATGAAGATGAAAGTCATCAGGACGCGCACCTTCCGGTTAAATCTCATCTCAAGGTACTACAAATCCATAAAATAGTTATAACTAAGATATTCCGAGTAACACCCATTTCTCACCTCGAGGCAGTTGGTGATGTTGTTGTTGTAGAAAACCGGAATGACCACGTAGTTCAGGAGCGGTACCACAACTAACATGCAAACCACGTTGAAGAACCAATTTACTCCGAAGGCGTACATCTCCGCCGGAATGGTCATGATGGAGATGGCAGAAAGTTGGCTGGCCACCAGAGAAATGGCAATAGGAATGGTCTTCATGCGCTTGCCACCCATCAGATACTCCTCAGTGGTGTCCGCGCCCTTGGCAAAGAATCCGAAGTAAACTCCAATCGCGGCGGAGATGCTCAGCATCAAGGAGAAAACAATGTAATCCGTGGAGTTAAATATGAACTGGGAGTCCGGGACCACGGTGGCATTGTCTGCCAGTAAGGAGGCGTTCGAGAGGGATGCCATTTTCACTGGTATCCTCTAGGGTTAATCGTGTTTTACGAATCAAGGATGCACTCACGGCCACTTTCACATATACAGTCACTTTCAGGTCGAGGCTCCGTCGGAGGAGAAAAACTACTGAGAGCGATTCTACGACCTGGCAGTCTTTATATAAGGCTCTTATTGCACGCGAATATATCTCCGGGATTACCTGCTTTAAATATTATCTATTGACGGCGCTCTCACGACCGAAGTCTTATCTGGATGACAGGCTATATTCCATTATGTGCTAGGATCTTAAGACCCCACTGTCAATTCTCTACCGGACTCACTGCTCTCGCCGTTTTAAAATCCGATAAGAACTCCTGACATTGCCCCGGCTTAGTCGAGATTACGAAATCTGCAAACTATACGGATTCATCTCATTCATTGTTTTCACTGTCATCCGCTAGTCTCCTGAGTTGTTGACTTATTGATATCGTTGTCACTGTCCTCCTCCGACCGAATTCGTCGACTCATCCGGGCCAGATGCCAGTCATCATTTAAGCAGTTCACGTGCAGAGAACCCGGAGTCTGCGGTCGGGAATAGGCTTCAAAGAAGCCCCATTTTGTATAGGACTTACTTTATCTACGTTCATAGCCAAAAATATATCATGGACCTTCTATGATAAAAGTTTTTAGTTTTTATATTAGTATGGTATATGATCTTTATATTCTGGATATCTATCGGCTGTTTAGAGATGTAAATAAGCATTTTATTATTTTATGTTGGGTGGCATATTACATATCAAAAAGCTATTCGTTTTCTTGTACCTCTAGGATTCACACATAGTTGTAGGTAACTTAAACATTTTTATCGTAAAGCTTTATTAGCTTTTTTGCAATAAAAAATTTTTAAAGATAAGAAACTACATAATTGAACAATTATGACAATCTCACTGGATCTTTTATATTCTGTTCTATTAAAAATTTATATTTAAAACATACGGCCTCTAAAATATTGTTACTTATACATTGTGACATTTGCATTATTATCCAAAATTCTTTTCTAAAATTTCTAGTTTGATTTCGTGTGGCTCCTCCATGGGAGTCAGCTCGTAATTTACGAATGGACGGATCACCGGGGAAAGCAGCTTGGGATCCCGTTTGGCATTTGGTTCTTCTTTGAGGACATAACTTAGAGGAAGGGCCACCAACCAAGTGATGAGAAATCCCACCGCCACGTACCAATTGAACGAGAGATCTAGGATGCTAGAGCCCTTCTCGTCCAGAGGTGTTTCCGATGCTTGGCGAAGAATCGAATCCGATAATAATGTTGTATTCAGTATTGAAGCTGGGCATCCTTCGGTGCTTTGGCTTAAGGGATCATATTGATTGCGTCCCCAACTGAGAACTACGATGGTGAGTATGGAAGCAATACTGGCTGTTACTCCGCTCAGAGCAGCCTAATTCAGATTCAATAATTAGTTCCCATTTGTATGAATATAGACATAAATAATACTTACCTTTGTATGGGCCTTGGGAACCAACATTCCCAGAAGGAACACGCCACAATTGGCCCCGAAGCTTACTCCTACAATGGAGTAGACTACCTGGAAGATGGAACTGAACTTATCAACAACCATGCCTCCAAATATACAGTGGATTCCCGCGACAAAAACAAAGATTTTCATAATCACATTGGCCTTGTGCTCGGTGTGGTGGATGTGGGGTTTGATGTAATCAAAGTACACGACTCCGCTGAGGGAGTTAATGCTTGCCGAGAGAGTACTTAGAGCAGCGCTGAACACGCAGGATATAAAGACACCCGGCATGCCCCAGATGTGTCCCACAGTGTCCTGCACGAAGTAGGGAACCATTTTGTCTAATTTGGACACTTGACCAGTTGCAATGGGATCACAGTCGTGGAAACGGGAGTACATCACGATACCTGTAAAGCAATTGAAGAACATGATGACGATGAAGCCAAATCCAAAAATGACCAAGGATCTAAAAATAAAGTTTTTTGTATTAAAAAATCAATTTTTGCTAAATAACTAACCTTCTGGCATGAGACAACGAGGGAAGAGACACAATTCGCTGGACACAGCTCTGGTTTAGTCCAGCATTTCCCGCCCAAAGAATTGTGGCTGAAGTAAAGATGTTCCAGAAGGTCGCTCGTGTCGATATATCAAAATTAAAGCTGAAATGTATGAAAGTTACTCACAGTTTCAATGAAATTTTGTTTCAAACTCACTTTACATCCAAACGGCCACCATCTCCGGCTATTCGAAGGACTTCGGAGAGGCCGCCCACTCGATGGGCACCCAAAACTCCTACCAAAATCACAGAGATCACCATTATAGCTGCTTGAATAACATCAGTCCATACCACGGCTTTTATGCCTCCCTACATTTTAAAATATTTAAATTACTATAATTAACACTTCATACTCTAGGATACTTACAAACATTGTATAAAATACACAGATTCCGCAGACAATTATGTTTATAATATGAACATTGTAACCAGTAACTGAAAATAAATTACATTAAAAGATCGTTCGAGAAACTGGCATTTAAATAAATTTTAAGCTACCTTGGGAAAATGCCAAAGAAGGAACAAAAATGAATATAGGCAGCATGAAAAATAAAGTAGCAATGAAAATAAACGTCTGCAGGACTCGAACTTTACGGCTGAAACGCATCTCCAGATACTGGAAATAGGGAAAATATGTATATTATAATAAAATATTCCAGGTGAAATGTATTTTAGCTAACCTCGTAGCAGTTGGTGATGTTATTGTTGTAGAAAACTGGAATCACCACGTAGTTTAAAATCGGCACCACAAACAACATACAGACTACGTTGAAGAACCAATTTATTCCGTAGGCGTACATCTCCGCCGGTATAGTCATTATGGAGATAGCGGATAGTTGACTGGCCACCAAGGAAATAGCTATGGGGATAGTCTTCATCCGCTTGCCACCCATCAGATACTCCTCAGTGGTGTCCTCGCCCTTGGCAAAGAATCCAAAGTAAACTCCAATTGCGGCGGAGATGCCCAGCATGAGGGCCAAGACGAAATAGTCCGTGGAGTTAAATATGAACTGGGAGTCTGGAATCCCTGTGGCCACAGCACCCAGTAAGGATGCGTTTGAGATCGATGTCATTTCTGGGAGGATCTGTACGGTCCACGAATTTTCCACTTTCCGGCTGCTGCGGCGGTGTATCGCGATTAAGAGCACCGTACTACGGTTAAAGTTTTTATATTAGTTTCACATACGGACCTTATCTCCGCCTTATCAAAATATTATATTATACTCCATTTAGGGCAAGCCAAACTTTATCTGTATTTCACACTGTTATCTTCTAGGATCTGTCTAGGTCTTGCATCGCAAAGCGTTGAGTTATCTAGGGAAATCTCCTGGCAATGACATTTCAGTTTCTTCTAATTATTTTATATTAGTTTATGCATATCAAAGGGAACACTTTTTTCTAGTCTTTGATACTATATAATTATTAATTTCATCACGAAGCGTAATCTTGATATTAATTAGAATTCTCTTTTCAGTTTCATGCTTTGCTTAATTATTGTACGAATTGTACTTGCATAGTTGCAGATATCTGTCGTCTTAACATAAATATGAAAATATGAAGCCAAATGAAAGGTATTTGTTTAAATAATTTAAATAACGGATAAATATATATGTATTTCTGTTTATTTATGCAGTATCTTTCGCTTCCTAAGAGATATTTGGATTTGATTTTCATTTTTGATTTTAGAATAAAAGTCAAGAATAATTTGTATTTTGGATTTTCATAATAAAAATCGATAATAAAAGTTTATTTCTAATTTTTTTTCGAATGTATAATTGTTATTTCCAGTCCCTGATTATATGTATTAATGACATAAATAGTATTTCCAAAAATCTATGATGTAGGCACATAAAAGGAAATAAGTTTTTTATGAAATTTCAGAGGCAGGCATGCTGTAACCGCTTTGATGGCGCATCTTGGTTTATTCGGGTGCACCTCCAAATGTGACCACACGGATGGCCACTTCGGCACGCATTCAATTGGGCAATGGGTAATGGTAATGATGCCGAATGTTGGTTAAGTGGCTGCAACTCCAACTTCAGCTCCAACTTCCAACGTGAAGCTGCAACGATGGCCACAGCGGAGATGTCCGTCCGTTCACCATTCCCCCGCAGGCCTCACCCCTGACCTGAAGGTATCTTGAATCTGCAACAGCATCTGTCGCAATCTTGGCGTAATGAGCACCCCTCCGGCTCCAGTCCACCATCCCCATTTTCATCTCCATCTTCATTGTCGTCATCTATTTCGGGCACTTGCACGACAGTCATTGATGATGAGAGTTGCTCAGTACACTGAAAAATATAACTTTAATTGCCTTTTGGTTTGTATAATAATTTAAAAACATATTTTTATTATAAAAAGATAATATGACTGATAATCTGAATAATTAAAGCTCCATTAGTCTTAAAAATAAGCTTTAAAAACCTATTAAAAGAAATTTGGACTTGGTGTCCAAATCGGTCTAAACTCCATTGAAGCTACTTCCTTTTTCTCTGTGCAGGGCTTGGGGTTAAGCTACCACATCATCGCTGTTGAAAAGTGAAAGGATTTTTTGAAGATGCTTGAGTTGGTATTTAATAAACTCACATAAGGCCAAGTGACAACTTGATGTTTGGAGAGCTTCGAACTCGTTTAATTGGAATGGGTCCCATACACCTGATGGTGGATTGTCATTAGGCGATTGGTATTTTAGTGGTAAACAATCAAATATTTGGGTCATTAGACCAAACATAAACTATTACTAGTAACATGAAGCTAACTCCTTACAAACCCAATAGTAAGTAAAAACAATGTGATCATTTAACGGTGACAAAATTTACTATTTTTTTTATTATTTTCATATTTTTTTGTTGTTTCTTTGTTTGTTTCATATAAAATAAAAACACTTACGAGCTAATAATGCGTTATAACACTGTCTGGGGTGTTTTTCCATCTGGATGTTGTGGTTCTTGTGTGTTGTGGCTTTCGTTTTCAGTTTTTTTTGTATGTTATTTGTGTGTAGTGCGGAGAAAACTATTTACAAAGATTACAAAAAGAATCCAAAAACGAATTACCCGAATTCGATTCGAATTTGCATTGAGGGTACGAGCCGAAATTCGAGACAGAGTATTGTTTTCCTGGGGGAGGTTGGAGGTTGGAGTGATTTTGGGTTTACAGTCGCTGAGTTTTTGGATGGGATGTTGAGAGGAGAAACGATCACATCACATAAGTACACTCCGGATCTCTCGTTTCTAGGTCCAGGATACCCAAATTACTCTCGGGATAGGTTAGTGTTGTCGTCCTTTGTTTTCTGTCGGTTGCGTCCATTTTTATGTTCTTTCTTCGTCGGTGTTCATTTTTGGCAGCAAAGTGTGTTTGATTCTAGCGGATGTGAGACCTGTTTTGTGGATCTAGAAGGGCGCTCCGTAGCTGCCGCTGGGCCTGGACGGGGCTCCGTAGGATCCAGAGGGGGCGCTGGGGTATCCACCGCCGCCACCACCAGCCTGGGTGCTCTGCTGGGCGAACTGGGCCACCTGGATGGCCTGGCGGACACCCTCCAGATCAATGCCGACTACACGGCCACCACCTCCGATTCCGGGGGCTCCGTAGCTGGTGGAGGGGGGTCCGTAGCTAGTAGAGGGACCACTGGGGTAGCCACCACCGCCGCCGCCGCCACCTCCACCGCCGCCTCCCTGTTTGCTCTCTTCGTTCAAAAGGATCTGACGCACCTGCTCCAGCAGCTGGGGATCCACGTTCTGGCCCTCTGAGGTCTGGAATCCTCCGCTGACGGCCTGGTAGCCACCGCCACCACCGCCGCCGCCGCCGAAGGAAGAGCCGCCACCAAATCCGCCGCCGAAGCCGCCTCCGAATCCGCCGCCACCGCCTCCTCCGCGGGGATAGTTGTAGCCAGATGGCGGCTCAGCCGCAGCCAAAGCGGCCAGAGCGAACACTAAGAACTGCAAGTAAAATTAAAAAATAAATAGCTTTGTGAAGTTTTGAGAATAATAGTTTTAAGTGTTCTTGACTATTCTTGATTTTTTTAAAAGCACTGGGTAGAGAACTTTTTTTAAACTTTTTGGAAAGTTTTCCGAATATTTTACTGATTGAATAATTGAAAACTCTTAAGTTGTAAACAAATTTGAATGCTATTTTCAACGAAGAGTTGCTTTTTAATCCAATATAATATCCAAAATGTCCTTTTTGTTGATCTAGGCAGTATTTTATATCCTATCCGACTTTTGGATCAGCACTTACCACTGAGAAGGAGTTCATAGCGACGAGTTGTGTGTGAGAGTGTTGTTTGGGGGGAAAGTTGAGTAGAGTAGAGTGGAGTAGTGAATGTGGTTGCTTGCGAGTGGGGAACCAGCGACTGAATGCATCTCCTTCGCCAGCAGAGCCACTCTTTATACCCGCGCGATGTGGTGGTCTTCGGGCACATTCGGGCCCAAACAACATCATTATGGCCACAACTTCGTCTTCAACTTGTTTCGAGACGACTTGCATTTGTTTTTTCTGCTCTTCTCACAATAAAACAAAAATTTCCAAATAAAAAACACAAAAAGAAGAAGACAAAACCAAAAACACAAAAATAAAAAGAAAAGAAAAGGCCGAAAAAAATAAAATGTCGCTAACGATTTTGGTATTTGAAATTTTCTTTGGCACTTTCCTTCGATTCGCGACATGGACCAGGAAGTCAATTTTCCCACCGCGATTGATTTCAAAGGTAAAACCAAAAAAAAATGAACTTATCCAATAAGATTTTTGGACAGCGCAGGACAATCATTGGTTGGAAACCCCACGTACCTATAAACTGTATATGTATTTGCTTTGGCCATGAGGGATGGTTCCTTTTTGCTGTCATGACGAAACTGCATTTTGGATTTAGCGATTCGCATTTCCCGTTGCCCAACGTTGCAGTTGCATTTTCAATTGTGGGTAAATCGCAACCCGGGCCCAGCTTTAGTACATTCATCAACATCAGCTCAGCCCGGCGCGTCACATGGGGCACGAAGATTACGAAATGGGCTGGGAAAAACAAGCAAGCCGTCAGGGAAAACAGGAGGCGGGGCGATGGAGGATCGCAAAATACTACCTATGATCTCGAAGTGGAGCAGTAGGGCTCTAGTACGTGTGGGGGCGTATAATTAGGGTTTCCCAAGTGAGCAAATTAAATTTAAATATGCAAACGAATGTGAAAATCATGGAGGTATTAAAATTTAAATTTTAACATATTGGAGGTAACGAATTTATTAAACTAAACTATATATGACGTACATGCATAAATATATACATACAGGATGAAAAACTAATAGTTTTTTTAATTTATATCGATTAAAATATCAAAATACACTTAAAAGGTTTTTAAAATCGTACCCCATGGTAAAAATACTATTTACTAAATTATAAATACCTAACTACCCTAACCTAAAGTTCTTATAAAAACTTAAAAATTAAAAGAAATTTATTCTCAAGAAATTGTATCAGATACCATAATATGGTATACATTTCAGTACTAATTCCTGTTACTGTTTTTACTAAAAACAGTAGTACTGGTACTAGTTAAAAACAGCTTGTTTCAGGGTCAAAATAAAACTGCCAATTAAATTTGAATTCACAATCGCAACTGGAAAGAAGGACGGGCATGAGTCACCAAGGGAGTTACCATTTGTGGTTACGTAAGCCCTTCTGACCTTGAAGATCTGACCAGAAACCAGAGATCTGGCCCTGTTCTGGCCAAAGTGAAAGAAGTCCCACCCGGGAGCCATGCTGTGCCCATTATGTCAGAGGATTTCGATCGGCTCTTCACCTGAACAGCACCTGTGGCAATGTGGCTGTATGGCTGGAAAGGTGTCATTAAATAAAAAATATACACAATGAAAGGGAAGAGGGCCACAATCGACAGAAAATGAAACTGAATCCGACTGGCAGTAAATTGGAGTAAATGAGGTTTATTTACATCCCAGCACACACACTTTCGCAGAGTTGTTTTCCAATTGCAGTTCAAAACTGGCAGTTACGCTCACAGTGAAAAAAAGTAATGTATTTTTAAATAATATAAAAATAAATTAGAAGATTAATGTTTACCAAAAAAACCAACTAATATGCGAATAATTAAATCCTAAAGGTTTAAGAAATATTTCTTCATCATAAAGAGTTCTAACTCTTTGCGATAAACAAATAAAAATATATATAACTCTTTTTTTAAGAGTGCACTAAGGGCGCCTCTGATCGTCGGAAACCTTCACGCTCCAAAGTGAAGGACTTGGACTTGGGTGTTTTGCTTGGCCTGCGCTGCGTTGTTGCGTGTTTCCCTGCGTTGGGGCACGATCTGCAATTTGAGTTTTGGCTTTTCGGCTGCTTTCGAGGGCTTTGGGTTATGAGGGGCGGGAGGAGCGATGAGATGAAAGTCAACACTTAACACTCTACCACGGTGGTGGAGGCAACACCAACGGCAGCGGCAACAGCAGCTTTGCCTCAATGACAGTGCGCTAAATCATTTTTCGTGGCTCGGAATTGTTTTGATCGGCTGTGGCTGCCACTGTCGCTGGAACTGTTAATTTGGTTTATTGTGGTCACTCTCGTTGTATCTGTATCTGTAACTTTAAATGTATCTGTATCCGTGTCTGTACTCTAGAGATGGTCGGCGAAGGTCTCTCACCCATTGATGGCGTAATTCACTTTTTGTCGGACTTTACTTTCAGCCGTGTAATTGGAGTAACAGGAAAAGGTCACATGCAAGACGGGCTAAAAACAAAATGGGCTAAAAGACTCGTACGAATTGTAGACTTTCTTATCAAGCATTGGACCCTTTTTGGACCTTGTTGTTCTTTTTAGTCAAACTTAAATAAATAGTATTTTAGAATAAAATACTAGGGGCAGTTGTACATAAATATGTAATAATTGTTCATAATATAGACAGGATTGTGTCTTTCACTTTTCCAAACTACTTGTAGAATATTTTGCTAACGCTATCGTGGGAGTCTGCCGTTAATTTTGAATTTTTTGTCATTATACTTCTATTGTATTTGGGTTCATGTCTGCCTCCGCCGTGCGTATGCTATTTTTAGTTGCTTTTTTTGCAATCTTAATGCCCCGCTTTATAATATACCGTGGCCTATCTGAACAGATTCATCATTAACACGTCTGCCACTAGGTCAACTTTTGAACAGCGACGGCTTTGGCTCTTGGTTTCGCGGTATTTGGTTTTGGGTCTCGTGTTTTTTCTCAGTCTTTTCAAGAAACTCATTATGCATCTGGCGGCGACTGCCCCAGTGTGCGTGCGTAATTGTTATGACACTATAATTGGACCAGCAATAGCAAAACAAAGCACACGAAATAAAAAAATAAAATCCCCTCGAAAAGTAAAAAACTTGCCAACGGGCAGACGCGCGTAAATTTTCAAATCGAATTCGCAAAGCCTCGTTTGCTATCGTCTTCGGTTCAAGACGTCTTCGATTTTAATTTTGCAATGCCTTGTTTTATTTATTTTTGTTTCTATTTTTTATAGGAGCAGACAACGCCCCCGCCTTAAAATTGAAACTTCAAGCCACTACGATTCGCGAATTTTAATTCAATTTTATTGTATTTTAGGGTTTATCAGTGTTGGGGAAGAAGGCATAAATTCAATTAAATGATACGTTTGTTTGAGTTAGTTAGTTCGAGTTTTTGTTAACCTCTTTCTCGTATTTTCAGTTTGGCCATTGTCCATTGCGTATACGCAACGTTAGCAACCTTCTTTTTGTGAAACCCCAATCGTTGGATCTCTTCAGGTGCTACATGCTAATCGACATGGAGGCCTCTGCAGCTGGGATTTGCAATAAAAAGTGCCTACATGATTAATGATAAAGAGGTGGCCATTTTTCACAGTTAAATATGAGACTGGTGCTACGACAAAAAGCTGATTATTCCGGCCTATTGATGACAGAGGGAGAATATCGCGCCACTCGCACGACAAAAATGATAATTGCTGCGCTGATGAAGATGAGTTCGCTAAATGTTTGGATGGTTTGCTGGTTTGTTAGTTTAATGCCCAGGGCGCAGGCTCAGCCACCTCGTCTCGACAAACTCCCGGCTCCAAGCGGCGGGGGGAGTGGCAGATTACATAAGGCGCCGACGCAGAAGAGTCGGGCGGCCAGCAAGCCCCCAGTAGTAGCAATTGGTAGTACATGCACTCGTAGCCAAAACCGACGCCAGTAATAGCCAAACCACAACCGCCAGTAATGCCAACTTTGGGGCTCAGATGCCAAAATAATATTTTTTAAAATGTTTTGTATTTAAAACATAATTTTTTCTAAGATATTACAAAAGGTAATTATAATTATTTCCAAAAATATATGTCAGCTACATTATCTGGAAATATAACTAATACTCATTTCCGACAATTTTCTGTAAAGTTTCTAAAACTGTACTTAAAACTAATAAATCTCTGAACAGCTTCTGCACGATGTCACCTAAAGTCATTAAAACTTTTACCTACATTCAAGATTTTATAAAATTAAAATTGTCCAAGTTTAGTAAATTTTTATCTTTAAAAGTCTTAGCCATAAAGAAGCCAATTTACCAGCAGTCCCTCCGAAGTCTTCACATCTCCGCTTGGGCCAAAGTGACGCTTCTTTCGTTTCCTCGAAGCAGACAAAACGGGTTTGTGGAGTGCGAGTCCGACGAGGTGCTCCCAGCTTTATGTAAGTCAAGCGCGGAGGCCGAGACCAGGCGGCCCAACGCAACCCGCAACGGGTGATGCGGGATCGGAGCTGGGAACTGGCCGAGGAGCTGCCATGGAGCATGCAGTGGGTCCAACCGGCAAGTGGGCAGATGAGCAGACATGCCAGCGGGTGGGGCCGAGGAGGTGGTGGAGCAAATGCAGTGCATGTGCAATGCATACCGATAAAAATGGACAAAAGCATAATACTTTGAAAAAAGGAAAGAAATGAAAAAGTATATTATTGTAAAATAAGATATGTAAATATATCCTTTTTTGTAAATGTTCGCTCAATTAAAATTTATTTTTTATAAAAATTTATATTTATAACTTATTTTTATGAATAAAAATTGTTACAAGTGCATTCATAGATGAAACAGAGTGCATGGAAAAGCTGACGTTGAATGGAAAATTGCTGCGACACGTTTTCACCAAAGTCTGGTGGGGATGTGCCGTACCCTGGTGTCGATGACGTTGCCGTGTCTGTGTCTATGTAAGTCCAAGTTTGTTTTCCGCAAAAAAAGACATCCAAACAAGCACACATCCATGAGTATATCCATGTTGGCCATTCTGCTAGCCAACTTTAGCCTTTGGGTGCTAACCAAACCGTTGACTTATGCAAAAACCAGCTATGGATAGCTTCCATCCTGCTCAGCTGATCCGCGGGGGCTTGTGCAACATCTCCAGACTGTCTGACCAGTTCATCCAGCCAAACCGCATGTGTATGGATCCATTCTCGAGACGAGCCGAAAGTAAAAGTTCAAATGCACAACCAGCGGGGGGAGAATAGTCAATCAGAGATCGAGGATAGGGGCGAAGAAGGTGCCGGTGGGGGCTCGATTTAGCCACCGCAATTATGCCACGATTTTGCACGGCGAGCTCATCTTTTTTTCTGGCCATGGAGATGCCCCATTGTGTGTCTCATTTTGTTAAGTTATTTTTCTGTTTTTTTTTTTTTCTGCTTCTCTTGTGCCAAAAATATAAATGATTTTACGAGAGGGTCTGAATGAGTTAATTAGGTTTGCTGTGGAGAGGTCTTAACAACACGAGTTGGCCATGGCAAAGCCAATGAAGAGATCAGGAGAAGACGGAAAAGGTTGGTGCATGCTTATGTTAACTAAACCAATGTTATACGTTAAATCATTTTTACGAAAAACAATTACTCTAATGAACAAAGCAAGGCCAGCTATTTTATGGTTTTAAGTAATCTAATATTATAAACAATTTAAAGGTATAAATAAATATATAAACTAAAAGCTTTAAATCAGAAAAATAACAGCATACTTAAAATTGTTTTAAATGTGGGAATCATAACGGTATTATATGTTTTTTTTCTACATTCTCGCTAATAAAAATTTGCGCATGTTAAAATGTAGCATACTTTTGTGCGGTTCTGGCCTTTTTTGTGAAAAATTTGCAATAAAAATATACATATATTAATTTAATGAAATATTTTATACGTATTCAATTCATATAAAATAGTAAAATAGCTGAAATATAATAGCCTCCTAAATTGTTCAGTGTTGGAAAATTTTGAACAGTCAGAGCTGCCAACATTAGCTATGTTAGCCGAAAAGAGCTAGTATTCGTACATATTCATAAATATCCGTTTCTATAAGAAAAATACCCCATTAATACATCGATTTTTGATAATAAATAATTTAAGCTAAATTCAACAAATAATGAAATCAAATACTTTTCGATCTTTTCCGCATCAATATATGTACCAATATTTTGTACCTATTGAAAACGGCCAAAAATTGGAGCTGCCAACTCCGCTCCAAACGGCCAATGACAACTCTGAACCGTAGGTACGTACTACGTGTAATTAATTAAAAATAAAAATATTAATACGCCCGAATACGAACGCAACTCAAAAACTATTCCACTTCTAGCGTAGAAAATATCGATGGCAAAGCAAACAAAGCTTGTTCGGCTTACGAAACTCTCCTAAATTCCAGTGTCGACGAGAGAATAGGCTACATTTTGAGAGTTTCCTAGAAAACGGCCCCCAGTCAATATTGTTCTGCCCGCTGTCTAAAAGTCCGAAACTGGAAAGCGACCCCGCACTTGAACCCTCCAAGGCATATGTAGACGGACGGGGGGGCACAAGCGTACCACCCGGCCAACATTAACATCTTCCTTGAGTCCATCAGCCAGCTGGCGGCCCTTGCGACCAGCAGCGCCACGATGCAGCTGCTCATTTCGTCCGTTTGCATGGCGCTGACCAGCGCGGTGATCGGAAATGCCTACTACCAAAAGCAGCAGTTCTATCCGGCTGTTGTCTACATAACCAAGTCAAACGCCTCTATGGCGGTGAGTAGTGGGATATGTTCTATCGTGTTATCTAAGTGTAAACATTTCCGAACTTGCAGGTCATCTACATAATGTTCTTTGTGATTGTCTTTATGTTTGGAAAGCTACTGCGCAAGGTGCAACATTCTAAACCTGTTTTCCCAAAAAACAATTACTTACATAGCTCGTATTGCAGATTTTTTTGGGAACCCTGCGCGCCGCTGAATTCGAGCATCTGTTGGAGCGCTTTTGGTATGCTCTCACAGAGACCTGTCTAGCCTTTACTGTTTTTCGGGACGACTTCAATCCGCGATTTGTGGCACTATTTACGGTGTTGCTATTTCTCAAATCATTCCATTGGCTGGCTGAGGAACGTGTGGATTTTGTAAGCAGCTTATTCAATACCAAACTTTATTACCTTTTTATGTAAAATCTTGTGCTCACAGATGGAACGTTCTCCGGTACTTGGCTGGCTCTTCCACATCCGCGTTGGAAGCCTCCTTACGATGCTGGGCATCTTCGACTACCTTCTACTAATGCACGCCTACAATTCGTCCTTGGTTCGCGGGCCCAGTGTACAGCTAGTGTTTGGCTTTGAATATGCCATCTTGCTGACCGTGATTGCCAGCACAGCCATAAAGTATGTCCTACATGCCGCCGAGATGCGTACCGATACACCATGGGAAAACAAGGCAGTTTTCCTGCTCTATACAGAGCTTGTGATTGGTCTTATTAAGGTTGTGCTCTATCTGCTTTTCGTCGTAATTATGGCAAGGATCTATGCCCTACCCATGTTCGTATTCCGGCCCATGTTCTTTACCATACGTAACTTCCGAAAAGCACTGAATGATGTCATTATGTCACGTCGCGCCATCCGCAATATGAATACCCTGTATCCGGACGCCACACCCGAGGAACTACGCCAATCTGACAACATCTGCATCATCTGCCGCGAGGACATGATAAATCACTCAAAGAAGCTGCCTTGCGGTCACATCTTCCACACCACATGCCTCCGCTCCTGGTTTCAGCGCCAGCAGACCTGTCCCACCTGTCGCCTTAACATCTTGCGCACAGCGGCCGTTAATTCCACAGCCATGCCCCGAGCTGGGGAAGATGCTGCCGCTGCTGCTGGGGGAAATCCAGCACCTGCCGCCGGTGGTGCTCAACCAGCGCCTGCACCAGCTTCTCAGACTCCAGTTGCCGACGGGAACCAGGGGCGCGGTAATGGCCCAGTCGCTGGAGTAAACGCACCTCCGCCTACCTTTGCTGAAATCTTCGGAGAAGCCAGTAAGTTGGATGTAAAATATTTTTAAAGGGAGAAGGTTAATTAATGCATTTACAGATGGGCTGCCTAATGGATTGCCAAATCTTGCTGGACTCCCAATGGTGCCTCCTCCAATGGCACCGGTCATGCCCATGATGTCGCCCTTTATGATGCCACCAACTGCTTTTGCCTACTTCACACCCCCATTTGTTCCGCCACCGCCCATGCCCTTGGACTTGGCCAAGTTCACCGATGAAGAACTACGCGCCTTGGAAGGACAACAGCGTGAAAACATCGAGCAGCGTCTTAAGGTAGGCTGTGGTGAATTCGAGCAGCACAAAGATTTGATTACAAAAATAAAACTTTTTAGTTGCTGCAAAACATAAATCTCTTGCTGGATTCAGCGGGAGTTATGATGACTCAGTACCAGAATTTGGCAGCGCGTTTGCAACATCCTGTCGCCCCGCCAACATCCGTGACTTCAGGGGCTAGTTCAAACCACGAGCAAGCTGCTGCTGGACCAGCCGTTTATGACAAGCCTAGCACCTCGGCTACAGCTAGAGCCCAGCTCGAGACTCATCAAATTAATTCCACACCTGTGTCCACAGTAGCTGGAGCAGAAAAGGTAACCATTGAGGATTTGGGGGCGGATGAGGATGAAGAGCCGTCGACGGCCACAGAGACAGTGAGTCTGGCCATTTCCGAAGCGGACGTCGATGAAAACTCTTCAGAGCTCTGCGAGCTAAGGAAGCGCCGATTGAAGTTCCTTGAAGAACGAAACAATTCAAGCGGTAGCGAGCGAACGACAGCTGAATAGGTGTCCCAGGAAATTGAAGGCCACTCCAAACAACAGCAGCAAAATCCTCCATCCCTCCAAAACAAAAAAAAAAAAATAACGAAAATGAAACCAAAATTCCTTTCGTTCATCACATTTTTTACTGTCTGGATGGTATAGATTTTAATTTAAACTTCGGCTCTTTCTCCGCTGCCTTCTATCCTTGATTTTGTTATTTTCTATTTTACTATACGAAAATATAACGACGATGACCACAAAGACGACTAAGATGCGGCCTCAAATCTCACACACACTGAAACACGAACGTGAAAAACGTCGTGTGGTACGTAGGATCTGAATGTGAACGTAGAGCGGCATCCAAATTCAATATGTAGCAATATATATTGTGTAAAAACTATTTTAGAGATGGGAAACTGATGATTTGTATTTAATATTACTATATGTGTATAATTGAAATATAATGTGAAATATAATTAAAACAAAAAGAACGATGAATGGGTAAAGTTTTTTTATGTAAACGGCTACTTTTGATTAGCTTTGTTCCGATTTTTAACATAATTGGTTAAATTTTTTTGGTATTTATATGGACGTTAATGACAAATTACATATTTTTAATGTTTTAATAATGCATGTTGAAAATCGGATCAGGCCGGCATATCAGCTACGCACGAAGTATTAATAAATTAAATGACGTGTACACTACACATAGATAACAACAGTCGATCGCCTAGTGCCCCGGGCATGGAAGATCTGCATTTGAACGTCGCCGCATCAACTCCTCTCCAGTTCCCGGAACTCTACTGGATCTGTGAAGCGGACAGTAAGTATGTAGAAGAGCGTTGGGAAGGGCACCAGACACAGAAATGCATAATGATAGTTTAGCGAAGCGATGCCATACGCCAACAGCAGCCAATGAACAGCTAGATTAAAAAGATATATTTTTTTTAATTGCTTTAACATTTTAGGCTTTAAACTTACATATGATTACAACATTCTTCAGCTCCCATACAGATGAGCAGACAAGAGCCTTTAAGGTTTGGTCAAGCTTGAGAGAATAGTGAATGGCATTGGCCACCATAGAAATGGCCACGCTTAGGTATGGAAAGGTGTAATCTGAAATATTTTACTACAATTTAATGTTCTGCATCAAAAGTAAAAATTGTAAGTCTGAAAGTGTTGATTGTACATTAAATTTACTTAAATTACTTAGAATGATACATTTCAATGATTAATACTTGAATTATTTCAAATACAGTACGCGTTACTGAGACCTTTGGATATCTTGAATACTCACAAATTAAACCGCAGCCTATGGCATGGATAAAAGTTAGCAGCGGTAAAAAATAGAGAGCGGAGTAGATAGGTGCCTTGCTTTTACCGCCCACATCCGTCAACTTGCTGATCACGGGGCGAATGAGAAACATGTTCACCAGGCACAGAAAATAGAATACCAACACAATGGTTTGTCTAAAATAATAATAAAAATAAATCCAATACCGAATGAGGTTGATAGTGGAGTCTTACAGTGGATAAACTGCTTCCTGTGTGCAGTAGACTCTTGTTTCGTAGTTGGGACTGGGATTATAGAACAACGTATACCAGTCGGTGAGCTTGCGCACCTCACAGGCGTACAACCGGAGCTCCCACATGGGCTCCATGAACAAAGTCGCAAGAATTGCGGACAAGGCCACCTCAATGAAAGCGCTGGCTGTTAATATGAGCTGCTTCCGGGAAAATCTGTAAAAATTTAGGATTTTTTACATGAGGATCAAGAATTAAGAAGAGCCTGACTTACTTCCGATCTTTCGCGTCCATGTCAATGAAGAAGCAATGCATCATAAGGGGCAGCATGGTCATGAAACCCAAGTACAGCCAGGAGTAAGTGGTCAACTCATCGCGGCAGGGCGAACAAGCAAAACTTTCGTTAACCTGTAGAAAATAATTAGGGACTTTAAGAAACATAAGTAGAGTGAGACGAAGCCGAATTACCCGCGATCCACGGGGACAAACACCACAGCTGCTCCAGGTGTCATTCTCTAGCAGCGAACGTCCACAGTAGGCGCCCGGGCATCGTTCCAGAGCGTCGTACATTTATTGAATTTTATTTTGTATTGCTTTTACGCTGCTAGAGCGTCTCAGATGGGTCTGTTGTTTTTAGCTATCAGTAGAGGGACCAGGTATAAACAAAGACCACACACAACAGCTGGTCACACCAACCACATAAGAATAGGTGGCGTTCCAAACTAAAGTTCATAAACATAAAAGAAGCTAAAACTTCTTAATGATCCGTTCGATTGCAATTTTTGCGTTTTTTTTTTTATTGTTATTTGATTTATTAAGCGGTTTTGACAAACATTAATTTAAATTTAAAACTTTCCGGTCTTGTTATAGCCGGTAAAATAACAGTATTATTTTTAACACATATCGACTAGAAGCTATTTTAAAATTATTTTTCCGTTTAGTCAAAATCTCAGTGTCTTCTTTGGTCGTATTTCGATGGTTTTCGACTGTGATTGCTAACATAATTCTTCGTCATATACTAATAATTCTTTGCCAGTAAAAAAAGCCCATTAAAAATTTGGCAGGATATGCTGTCACACTGCAGCCGGGAAGCAATTTTTATCGGGTCATAAGCGGTCACACTGCTGCACAACCCAAAAGAAATAACTAAAATATAATTAATTAACGAAATATTGCACTAAAAGCGAACTTAATCTAGCCGTGGCAGCCACATCCCGCCGCCCCCGCCACGCAGCACATTACACGCCCCCCGGCGGCCAGGCAGTTAATCGGCCAAGTTCAGACGCCATTTCGCAAATTTTTTTTGCGAAAAATTTGTTCTGGGCAGGAAAAAATTTGCGAAATAATAGTTGCCGATGCGTTTAGAGTTCGTAACTATGAAACTGTGAGTCTGCAGCTTAAAAGTAAGCTCAAATCGAAAATTGTGAGCAACGGGACAGATAAAGTGAAAATTTTTGGTGAGTTGTGTGTGTCGCTCATTTGATTCGCAAATAAATATATGCGTGTGTGTGTGCGACTGCTTCTGATCGTGTATGAGTGTGTGTTCGTGGAACGTGAAAAACAGAAGAGCGACGGAAAAATAATAAAAAGCCGCACTGGCTCCCCGTCCTTGAGTAACTTCCGTTAGGTTCCAGAACTCGAAAAGGGAAGTGCCTGTATAGTACAAGTGCAGCTCGAAAAGTCACATATTTTGCAAAGTGGCTGCCAAAAGATGGTTACTTTTGTATTTTGTGCTATCAGCTAATGTTTTGAGAGGAGTCCGCTACTTGTAAAGTATATTCATGCGTAGTTATTTAGAAAAAATCCCCTAGCCGTAACACGCCCCATTTCCCGCCCCGCCACTTGCTCCACCCACCGACCGCATTCCGAAAAAGGATGTTGCCGGGTGGAGAGAGCAAGAGACGGGACCCGGGAGGAGAGAGAGAGCAGGATAGGTACGTGATGTAATTTTGGGGAGAAAAATGTTCTTTGTTTGACTAAAAGAAAAAAATAACAATAAATAAATAAGAACGGAGAGCGTAGAGTAAAACAAAAACAACATTAAATTAAATTCATACACACGTTCCGTTCGTGAGAATGTGGGTGAGAGAGGGTGGTTTGTGTGTGTGTGCTTTTGGAGCATTATTTGGCGCTTGCTGCCCCGTCTATTAAATAATATTGATTTTTCATATTCCAACCCAGAAGCTACCCAACACACACTCGTGCACTCTTACACACACTCTCACAACTTTTTGTTCCCGTCGGTGCGTGCATATCTGTAGGTGTGTGTGAGTGTGTGTGTGTGCGAGTGCTTTTTTCGGTCTCCCTTGTGCGCCTGTATTTATTTGCTTCTTTCCTTCTTTCGCTCTTCGTTGCAGTTTATAGATTTTTGCAACTGTGCCCGCTGAGCAGGAATATGTAAACTTAAAGGAGCCAGTTCTTATTGGAAAAAGGACAATAAGATTGAGAGAGTGAGACGGACAGTCAGGGAGACAGGGAGCGTCAGGAGTCGCCGACCAACAGTGCCTCAAATCAGCAACAACAAAACGACGAACAGACAACTGGCAACTCCCCACATCTCGCTACTTGGACACCGGACACTTCACAACTGCCATAATCCAGGAACAACCAAAAGCCAAAAAAAGGAATATTTAAAAAACCGCCCAGTGCAGACTGCAATAGGATTACTAAGACACCTAGAAGTAGGGCTCCTACACCGCCACCTCGAAGTCAAATTTCGTTTCCTCTGGATTTCACAAATTTTGCTTCCGGTGCTGTGCAGGATCACGACAACGACGAAGCCGCGCTAGCTTGGGAGAAGCACCTATTGCCGCAATGACGTTCGACACGCGCAGGCAAACCGGCGGCCAGCCGGGCAGCACATCAACCAGCAGCAGCACCACCACCACAGCGACTACCACCACGACCAGTCCGGCGCAGGGCATGGGATCGGTCACGGGGACAGGCACTGGCACTGGCACAGTCACCACCACATCGATCATCGCAGGAGGCGTTGGCGGGGGCCAGGAGACCAGCAACACCCAGGAGCAACAGACGCCGGCGGGCAATAGAAGTGCCGAAGTCACCGACGTAGTGGCCTCATCTTCGGCGAGTAGCGTAGACAGCACCGTGACACTAGTGTAAGTAGTCCCAGAGTCGTACTCCTTGGCAGCGCAAACGGTTGCATGACGAGGCCCAATTAGCGCAGCTTTAGTGCGTAGTTTATTGCACTTAATTAGCAGCTGTTTGCCGATTTTTCGGGGTGTGTGTATACCACCCCCACCTCGACGCCAACCACCTAGCTACCTACTATACCCTCACGAACCCCAACCTCCGGCATTGGTGTGTTTACTTTTGCGCAGTTGCTTCTTCTACTTGCATTCTTTGTTTGTCCAGGGCTGGGCTAGGACCGCAAGTAGCCGCAATAAACCTATTCAAATATGCTAGCGGCGATTAGAGGATGGTTTGCGAAGCAAGCTATGCAGCCAGCTGATTTTGGCCACGCTAATTCGGGAGGTGTCGTCACCTGAGTTGCCCACAACCGACTAAATTCAATTACATGCAAACCGAGAATATCAATGTTTATGTGCGCAAAACGTGATAGCGGTGTCCAACAATGAGGCAATAACATGTTATCATTCGTTTTCCCCTCTTATGTGTGTGTGTAGACGCCTTCAAATCCACCTGAAACCTTACTTTCTACACAAAATATGTGGATGGGAAAACCTCACATGAATTCATTCATTATTTTGTAATTTCACAATGTAATCTCTATTGTAGGCCTCCAGAGAAGCTGATATCCTCGTTTCCCACGACGAAGCTTCGCATGCTGACCCAGAAGATTTCGAATCCTCGCTGGGTGGTGCCTGTGCTGCCGGAGCAGGAGCTGGAGGTGCTTTTGAACGCGGCCATTGAACTGACTCAGGCTGGTAAGTCTTGAAGTTTGGTAGTAATTGAATCTCTTAACAATTTCCTACCTAGGTGTCGACCACAATTGCGAGCCGTGCGTGGAGTTCTACCGCAATGGGTTGACAACATCGTTTGCTAAAATCCTCACGGATGAAGCCGTCAACTCGTGGAAGTATAACATCCATCATTGCATCCTGGTGTCCTGCGGCAAGCTGCTTCACTTGATAGCCATTCATATGCAGCGCGATAACCCATATCTACTGGATCTACTGGCGATCGTCTTCGATCCAGAGAACAAATTTAACACGTTCAATGCCGCCCGTCATCCGGTGTGCTTTTCCACTCCAGACGCCATTTGGGGCCCGCTAGACAGCAACAAAATGTTTGCCAAACCGCCACCGGAACCGAAGAACGCGCGTGGTTGGCTGGTAGATCTCATTAATCGTTTTGGCCAACTTGGCGGCTTCGACAATCTTTTGGAACGGTTCAACAGCGGGCTCGAGTTGCTGAAGCGAAATCAAAACAAGCCCACGGCCAAGGAAGCTAGTGATGGGCAGGACAACCGTCTAACGCTCGCACTTATCCACAGTCTGCTGCGACCATTTGGACAGTGCTATGAGTTGTTGACTCCTGCCACCATCGCCAAGTATTTCATGCCGACCTGGAATGTAGTGCTGGACCTGCTGGATAGCTTCTCAGACGAAGAGTTAAAGCGCGAAGTGAAGCCCGAGGGCCGGAATGACTACATTAATGGAATCGTGAAATCGGCACGTTTCCTAGCCAGCCGTTTGACGGGCCAGGAGGAGCTGATTCGTGATCTGGAGATGTTTCGGCTTAAGATGATCCTGCGCCTACTTCAGGTGTCCAGCTTTAACGGAAAAATGAACGCTCTCAACGAGATTAATAAGGTGCTATCCTCTGTGGCCTACTACTCACACCGCTCTCAACCGCTCCCGCACTGCATGCCAGAGGATGAGATGGACTGGCTGACGGCTGAGCGAATGGCCCAGTGGATAAAGTCCTCGGACGTGCTGGGCATTGTGCTTAAGGATTCGTTGCACCAGCCCCAATACGTAGAAAAGCTGGAGAAGATCATCCGCTTCCTTATCAAGGAGCAGGCTCTAACGCTTGACGATCTGGATGCAGTTTGGCGAGCGCAGGCGGGAAAACACGAAGCGATTGTGAAGAATGTGCACGACCTACTGGCGAAGCTGGCTTGGGATTTCACACCCGAGCAGCTGGACCATCTCTTTGAAGCGTTCCAGGTGAGTGCTTACCTATTTATTCGTGAAAAGGCAAGCATTTTAATTCCACCGTTTATTTTTACACATTTTCCAGGCCAGCATGACCACCGCCAACAAGAGGCAAAGGGAGCGACTCCTGGAACTGATTCGAAGGTTGGCCGAGGATGACAAGAATGGAGTGATGGCCCAGAAGGTACTGAAGCTCTTCTGGACATTGGCACATAGTCAGGAGGTGCCCCCGGAGGTGCTGGATCAAGCGCTGGGCGCGCACGTTAAGATCTTGGACTACAGCTGTTCGCAGGAGAGGGACGCACAAAAGACCATTTGGCTGGATAAGTGCGTGGGCGAGCTAAAGTCTGGAGACAGCTGGGTGCTGCCAGCATTGCGTCTTATCCGGGACATTTGCTGCTTGTATGACACCACTCCAAATCATGCTCCGCGCACGCAGACGGGAACGAATCGGCAGCAAGTGATCGAGCGGCTACAAAACGATTACTCTCTGGTTATTCTCGTGACGAATAGTCTCACAGC